GGTGTTTGCCTTGCACATGGCTGACCTGGGTGACCTGGGTTCGATTCCTCCACCCTTCTCAGAGAGTCCAGCAAGTTACCGAGAGTATCTCGCCCACAGCAAAGCCTGGCAAGCTACCTGTGACGTATTCGATATGTCAAACACAGTAACGACAAATCTCACAATGGAGACATTACTGGGTCCAATCAAGTAAATTGACGAACAACGGGAGGACAGTGCTTTACCATCCTCATTTGTCTTCGCTTTACATTGATGTTCTTAGATAAACTGATATCAGTTTTTTTATTTTCCCATATCCCCTTGTATTTAGGTCACAGTAATCTTGTAAAATAATCTGGACAATAGCCTGCCTTCTTCCCACCCTCTGAAACAGTTTCTTTGGCCTGGAGAGATAGTAATAGCAGACAGGGTGCTTGGCTTGCATGCAGTTGACCTTGGGACGTCATATGCTCCCCAAGTTTGCCAGGAGTAATTCCTGAGCACAGCGCCAGGAGTAACACCTGAGCACTACTGGGAATGACCCAAAAATCTAAAAAGTTTTTTTTAAAAAGTGAAACAGTTTTTATACAGTAGGGAATATTGGCTCCTGAAGGCTTTGTAAAACACAAACATGTCAAACTATCAGGGTTCTAATGTCTTTGGAAGAACAGGAGGCGGTGGCCTTTTGAAAAGGGATTCAGAATTGTTCAAGCTACTGGTTCACTAAGGATTTTAGTCCTTCTTGAGTTTTGCTAACATTTCACGTCTCTTCATTTTCAGGGGGTCTTTCACACATTGCTCAGGGGTTCCAAGGATCCGTATCCCAACAGTACCAGGGGCTACCTTGGTGATATTTGGGAGACCATGGGGCACAAGAAATTGAACCCAGGGCATGCCAGGCTTGAGCACCAAACCTTAAAGCTATCTCCCTTGGCCCTGGTAATATTTATTTTTAGAAAATAAAATTTTCATATTTAATGGCATAATATTTATACCATTCTAGTGCTTTTTAAATGTCTGTAATACATGAAGCATATTTCATCTTTTGTTCAGAATGGTTTTAATTTTAGATCAGTTTTATTGAAAGCTTAAGATCCAATTCTTACCTTGAATATTTGCTTTTTAAAAAATTGTCTCCTTACTTCTTAGATTTTCTTTGAAGTTCTTTTCTGGATTTTTTTTTCTTTTTGGGTCACAACCAGCAATGCACAGAGGTTACTCCTGGCTCTGCACTCAGGAATCACCCCTGGCGGTGCTCAGGGGACCATATGGGATGCTGGGAATCGAACCCGGGTGGACCGTGTGCAAGGCAAACACCCTACCCGCTGTGCTATTGCTCCAGCCCCACTTTTCTGGATTCTTGAGTTGGAGTTCAAGCAAGTACCAATTCACTTTCAATCTTTTTTTTAACTTCATTTGAGAAAGCGTGCGCGTGTGTGTGTTACTCAATGCTTTACTCCTGGTTCTGCACTCAGGGGACTTTACTGGCAGTGCCTGAGGGGCTTTATGTGGTGCCAGGGATTGAACAGGGTCAGCTGCAAGTAAGACAAGCAAGCACCTGATCCCTCTCTCCAGTCAAGAATAAATAAAGAAATTTTATTAAAAGGAAGAGAAAAAGAAAACATGCTCAAGAGAGAATGTGGGAGAGGAGAGAGACCCATGAAGTCAAAGAAATTCCACTCTGGCTGGGACGCAGGTGCTCCAGAATTTCAGAGTGCAATGCCTCTCCCTTGATTCCTCGATTAAGGTGCACCACGTGGTTACTTTAGCAGGATTTTACAAATTGTGATCAACTGCCTGTCATGCAGTTCAAGATACCATATCATTGTCATTGTGGTTTCCTCCTCAACCCATCAGTTATTCAGGAAAGTAATTTTTTTTTTTAAATTCCCAGACAAAAGCCTCTCCTAGCTTCTAAGGTTTGATTTTTATTTTGCTTGCTGTAAAGAAAGAGAGTGTATCTGCTCAGACATTTGTTAAATGCTCCATGTGTACATGAAAGAATTACTTCTGAATCCCCTAATGGGACTTCTTTTGACATGTAAAAAAAGATAAGGTTTAAATCTGGCTTTTAAAGTTCCTACATGTCTTGCTAAATTTCTCTTTGATCCATCGTTTTTTTTTGGGTACAGATGGTTTAAAAAATGCTGTGGGGCTGCTGGTTTGATCATGGTCCTCCAATCAGGTTTGGTCCCTGGAACCTTTCCAGGGGTGATCCCTGAGTGTAGAGCCAGGAGTAAGCCCTAAGCACTGATGGGCTTGACACCCCCCCATCCCCTGCAACCCCAAATGATAAAATCTCCTGTTGTGATTATGGATTTGTCACATTTTTAATTCAAATTTTTTTCTCTTATAGAATTCACGTATAATTATGCCTATATTGCTATTGGATATCTAGCTCAAAGTCATTTTATTGTTTTGCGTGTCTTCGTTTTTGTTTTTGGGCCACATCTTATGGTGCTCAGGGCTTACTGCTGGCTCTGTGTACTGGAATCACTCCTGGTGAGGTTCAGGGAGACCATATGCAATCCAGGAGTCAAACCCGTGCCTTCCTTATCCATTGTACTACTCTGTCTTGGATATTTTCATTTTATTGTTAAGAGTTTCTTAACTGACTTAATACTTCTTTGCTAACTACAATTTTCTCTCATATTAATATTGCTTTTAATCATTTTTGAGAGAAGACTGATAAATTCTCACTCAGCACTTTGTTTTTTAATCTTTCTGCATAGTATTGTTCAGATGTCTCCAGAAATAGCACAAGGATAAATTTTCTACCAATCTAGTCTGTTTAGAGTATTTATCTTGATGGCGAGAGTACCATTCATTTAGATTATTTTTTGTGATATTCTCTTGTATTTTCTAAACACAACATTTTCCCTTCCTTGTCCATTTTGCTATTTTCTATTGAAATGGTGAGCTATTTGTCTTCCTTTTGTCACTCCTTGTCACTGCCTTCATCCCCCGCCACCCTCCCCTCCCAACACCCACACACACACCTTCATATACATATGATCTCAAAAGTTATGCCGGGACAGCTGGATTAGCTGTCTACCTCATATTCAGTCTTTCCCCTCCCACTTTGAAATAGGTTTTTTATTTGTTCTGGGGTCACACCCAGTGGTGCTTAGGACTTATTCCTGGCTCTGTACTCAGAGATCACTCCTGGTAGAGACCATGTGGGATGCCAGGGATCGAACCCATTTCAGCTGTAGACAAGGCAAACACCCTAAGTGCTGTGCTATTGCTCCTAGCTTGGCACAGCTCCTGATTAGTGTAAACATACCTTTCCTAGCTTCCCTGGCAAATAAGATAGAGCAGAAGTGCTAGTTCTAGGAAGTCACTTTAAAATGGAAGATGCTGCAGCTGCCCTCTTGGACTAGGGGAAGGGAACATCAAGCACAAGGAAGGACTTTGGAACAAAAAGACAGAAGGAACTTGGGTCCATAATAATCTCAAAGTTGCAATACCCATCCTGTGATAACTACTATACCTCTTTTATAGAAAAAAAAGGAATAATGTCTCTTAAGCTTATGCTACTAATTAGGGGGTCTTTTGCTAGCAGTTGAGTGCAATTCCTGATACAGATAAAATACATGGTCCTAGAAATTTAATTTTATAGGTGTACATTCAATATCAATTAAAATCTAATGATACTCGCCTACCTTAATACATAAAAATATTTTGTACACACATTTATATATAATGTAATTTATAAATATTTTATTAATAACATCTATTGACATAATTATGTATTCAATTGCTTCTCACATCTAAACTTACTTTCTCTCTTACTGGATAAAGTTTCATCATGTAGTTTCATGTCAGAGAGCAACTGACCTCTAAGAGTCAAAATTCTAATGAAGCTCTAGTCATTGGTTCCTATGTCCCTACTCCTGCTTTTCTAGAGTCTTATTATATAAGCCAAGAAACTGGCTTATTTGTTGTCACTTGAGGTCAAGGAATACTGGAAAAATAAACAGAAAAGCTGCTGAACAGATATTGTGTGTGTGTGTGTTACTGAATAGGTGTGTGTGTGTGGCGGTTAGCCTAATTTAACCACAGTGCAATACCTAGATATAGTAGACTTAAACTTTTAGTCAGAAAGTTGATTTGGAAGGGGGAAAAAGAGACAATAATGAAAAAAAAAGTAGAAAGGAAAGAGAGCAAAAGTTAAGACACAAAAATGAAGGAACTAAAAATAATGAGCTCCCAGAAAGCTGCCTAATTTATCAAGCTTGTCAACAGTAGCAGTTAAGAGCTGAAATCTGTTCTTTAAAGAAGAATAAAACAACACAGGACTGACCTAAAGTTATCAACCAGTATTAGGTCTTAAAGAAAAAATAAAAAAAAAAAACTAGACATAAAAATCTTTAAATACCCAAGGACAATACTTAAATATTAAACAACTTCTTAAAACTCTAGTTACTATACATTTAAATACAATATATGGATAGATGATTACAAACTGACGATTTTTTTTGAAGTTTGGCTGTCTTCAGAACAGGGCTGATGTTCACTTAGTCAGGCACAAGCCATATTTTATAAGTATGTATTTTATTTTTATTTATTTATTTACTTATTTTTTGTGTTTTGGGTCACACCCGGCAATGCTCAGGGATCACTCCTGGCAGTGCTCGAGGGACCATATGGCATGCTGGGAATGGAACCTGGGCCGGCCGCCTGCAAGGTAAACGCCCTCCCCTCTGTGCTATCACTCCAGTCCCAATACGTATGTATTTTAAAGATTGCACTAAAACTTTACCCTTGATTACAAACACTGGATGAAAGTTCAAATTTAAGAAAAGCATTTCAGTTGAAACACAATTATTTTACTTACTCGCCAGTACACAACTTTTTTACTTAAGAAAGCCAGGAATAAATACAAATACTTTAATTTTCACTTAACATACATATTATTCAAGTTGATTTATAGTTATCTTAAAAAAATCAAACATTATATAATTATAAGAGAGGATCTGTGAATTAAAACAGGCATTTAGTAAAAAAAAAAAAATTACCTTTGAGGCAAGGTTGTCTACTAATGCAATCATGGAATTCTTAAATAAGGTGGCAGCAGTCAGAGGGCGCTTGGTTACCTCTGTAATACTCAGTTTGCCTTCAGGCCACATATTTTTCAGAACAGGATTTGAACTGAGAAGCAGAGAGAGAGAGACTAATTTAAGTGTTACATTCAAAAAAGCTGAATAAGAACTGGTAGGCAATCCTTTATCCTGGCAGTCACAATTAGGTGGCAGTGACAGGCCTAACTGGAAAATTTACTCCATCCAGAAATTATGCTGGAAGTAAAGTGACAGATAATATACCCCAGATTGAGAAGATGTGTCCAAACTATTCAACATCTTAACACTGTAATTCCAAGTCTTTAACCTTTTTGAAAGTGACCTCTACATTATTATTATATAGGACCCTCAAATGGTTAATATGGCGGTATAAATTATAAGAATGTAGGCAAAGCACAAATAGGGAAATGACCCCAATGTCATAGCGGAAGCCATGAAAGTGAAGATTTTCCTACTGAAACAAATATTCATGCAGGCTAGGTAATACTACAAATCCCCAGCTCCTTCTAAAAATAGAGGAGTATAAAATGGCCAATTTTATTTTGTCTTAGCAAAATTCTTTTCTGCAGTTGAATTTATGAACACATTTATAAGTAGCTTTGGCAGTGACAGTATTTTATTGCTGAGACACTAAGACTTTCATAGCCCAAATGTTAAAATGTATTTCAGGCCACTTTTCAGGCTAAATCGGATATTCTACTATTTGGTTCTTATGAAGTCATTTTTTTTTAAATTTGGAAGATTAACAAAATTTAAGGGGCTGAAGTGATAGCACAATGGGTAGGGTGTTTGCCTTGCACGTGGCTGACCCAGGTTCGAGTCCCAGCATCCCATATGGTACCCCGAGCACTGCCAGGAATAATTCCTGAGTACACGAGCCAGGAGTAACCCCTGAGCATCACCAGGTTTGACCCAAAAAGAAAAAAATTTTAAATTGAGTGGACACTGGTTTGTAAAAGCACAAATATTCATTTATGCATAGCAGCACCATACCCACCATACCGCACCATACCCACCATACCACACCATACCCACCTGCACCATACTGCACCATACCCCGCACCGCACCAAAGTGCCAATACCCCGCCACATAAGTCCATCGGGGAAATTTTAAAAGCAACGTCTGGTGACTTTTGCTCTGACTTCCTTCCTGCCTTATAATGGGTACTTTTGATTTTAAGTTACTTGAAATTTGAAATGTTCCTGGAAACTATATAAACTGGGGGGTTAAAAAGAGAAAGGAGCTAGCATCGATATTTGTTGCAATTTTGCTTAGTACTGTCATTTTGCCCACATTTCTTTCCACGGTCTAAAATTTAAAAAATTTATCTGGCTCTCCAAAATATCTAGTAAGTTTACATAGAGACTCAAAATAATAGTTGCAAAATGCCAGAGTGAATGACAAAGAAGCATGGGGAGAAAAAGGGGGAGGAGACTGACTGGGCCTCTGAATGATTCTCCCATCCCTTGGCAATGTCCTCTAGCAGTGTCCACTAGCATCAAGAGTGCCTGTCAAGCAATGCAGTGACCTATGGCTGATGGACTCTAATACCTGAGATTCTCATCCTAAGACTTTTCGATGATACATATAGAAAGAAAGATAACTAAACAAACATAGTGCTTTCCCTCTTTGCTTCTATTCTAACCTTTGACAGAGGGAGAATTTAAGGCAATGGTTCTCAATCTTGGGTGCACATGATGCCTGGATGCTGTCTTTTCATCCACGATGCAGAATTTCCATAAATCAGAGCATGTGTGCCTGAGAAATTCTCACGGATACTATAGATTGAAAATCCCTGGCTTTGGGTCTATGTAGCTCCCTACCCAATTTCTTCTTCCATCTTATCACTGTGGACCATATTTCCAGACTATTCTGAACTCAATAATTTTCAAACATTTAATATACCAAAACTATCTTATTGAAAGGTAAGCTTATTAATCCATAAACCCACCATGTATAATACTGAGGCAGAACTCATTAACCTACTAAGAGAGGAAATCCATCCAAATACTGTCTAGGAGGATGGTCTAAGTCAAAATAATTTAAGGATTTCTGATGTTACTGAAAATGGAAATACAAAATAAGAATTATATATGGACATATATAATTATGAAGTTATATACTCTTTCTATATGAGCTATATAATACATTATTTTCTCTATATAATAATGTATTGTTATATTTTTATTCCTCCACCCCTCTCGGAGAGCCCAGCAGCTACCGAGAGTATCTCGCCCTCATGGCAAAGTCTGGCAAGCTACCCGTGACGTATTCAATATGCCAAACACAGTAACAATAAGTCTCACAATGGAGACGTTACTGGGCCCGCTCGAGCAAATTGATGAACAATGGGAGGACAGTACTACAGTGCTACACTATTATATAACTCAATATATAATCAGAATTATATATATGATATCAAAATCTATCTATCTATATATATATATATATATATACACACATGCAATAAGTTTCAACCAGCAGACTTTTAATCTTTTATATCTTTGATAAGACCATCCCTATTGTAAAATAACTTCATCTTAGCCTGATGGCTTTAATGATTAGATTTAAGTTCCATTGTCCTGATTCTGTTTTACCAAGCAACTAAATATTCTGGATTCTAGGGGTAATATTGCGCGCAGCCAGCCCGGCCTAGCCGGGTTCAATTCCTCTGCCCCTCTTGGAGAGCCCAGCAAGCTACCGAGAATATCTCACCTGCACGGCAAAGCCTGGCAAGCTACCCGTGACATATTCAATATGTCAAACACAGTAACAAGTCTCAAAATGGAGACGTTACTGGGCCTGCTCGAGCAATTAATAAATTAGAATTCTCACTATTTTCTGACTTCCCAAGTATGTTGTCCAATAAGGAAATCCTATTCCATGCTACTTACGATATTTTCCTTGGAAATAAATCCATATGCTACTTGATTTCTCTCAGGCCTGTGAGCCTGGGCTACATTAATCCACCACTGAAAAGTGAAACTGTTGTCAGTGAGCTGTCCCCAGCCATGATCTATTAATGAAGGTGATGAATACCATCTATGGAGCCTCTTGGTCCACAGCCTGCCTGCCAGACCTGTCACACAGCCTACAGCCAAAGAAATCAATCTTTCTTGTTATATTTTGCACATCAAATAGTGGTGGACTCTGTCATTTGTCCCTCAGAATGGGTGCATGTGATGGATAAATCAAGCACAGATTTTTTTTTTTTTGTCGGGGGTTGTGGTGCTCAGGGGTTATTGTTGGCTCTGCACTCAGGAATCACTCCTGGTGGGGCTTGGGGCATATGGGATGCTGGAGATTGAACCCAGGTTGACTGCGTTGCAAGGCAAGAGCCCTAACCCCTGTACTGTCTCTCCAGCCCCAGATAAATCAAGCATGGAAACGCCCTCCGAGTACTTCCCATGAGCAGCTCTCTTTCTCTTGGTGGCGCTCTCAGCTGAACTTGCAGTTACACTAACAGAACATTCTGCAGCAAAAATTAAAAGAGCTGTTTAAGCACAATGTCTCCACATGCTCATTTTCTGAATTCTCTTGAACCCACAGCAGCCAGCTTCTCTCCGCAAGTCTAAAGGAACTGTGCTATCATGAAGCCCTCTGAGCTACAGGTTAGCAAACTGAAGTCTCCTTTACTTCCTCTCCCTTGCTTGCTTGACTGTGAACATAGTCTCAGGATTAGTCCTTTAACCTCTTCTCACTTTTGTTTCTTCATCTTTGTTCACCTCGATTAATTCCACCCAAATAATTACAGCATTTTTCAATGCTATAAATACACAGATGAGTGAGAGTTGATGTCTCTGGTCCCACCTTTATCCTCGATTTCAGGAGCATCTTAAAAACTATTGTCTACTTGGCTTTTTCAAACTGGATATTCAACATGCACTTTAAATACCACATATCCCAAATAAAATTCTTGATTTTTCCAATTAATTAGCTCCACCTCATGTGGATCCCTTCCTCACTGCTCAGGCATCATTTTGAATTGTTTTTCTTTCATGACCACAGTCCTACCCATCAGCAAATCTTACTGGCTCTTCTTTCAGAACAGCACCCAATCGGACCACTTTTCATCATTTCTGCTGCTTTCTCCAGATCTCAGCCTGGACTAGTCACCTAGTCTTCTACATGATCTCCCTATTTCTACTCGTGCCTTTTGTGACATGTGCTTTAACACTTCATTTGACATGGTACCTTCTTTAAAATATACACCACAGCAGATGAAAGTCCAGTGGTTCCCTGGCATTCTTCTCCCTTACCGTGTCTCACAGGTTCCTATTAGTCCAGGCCCTGTCTAGTTCTCTAAATTCATCTTCCACCTGCTTCTCTGTCCTACAAAACTGTACTCCAGTACTCAGAACTTGTCATTCCTCTGCCTGGTATGCACCTTCTCCACCCGTTCCTGGCTCACCCCCCCCCCCCCCAAACTATACTCATGTCTCTGCTCCAATGCCTCTTCTTTGAAGACACTTAATGGTGGAGTGGGTGAATGAAATGGGCGAGGGCTGGGAGATGGCACATTCTAATTCACAGAATAGTGTGTTTTCATTAATAATGAACTGTGCAAGGAAACTCAAGGCAAGTGCCCCTCATCCATAACTTCAGAGAAGGCAATTGGAGGAAACAAGTGAAGGAAAGGCTGGATGATGTTTAGAGAAAATCACTATACCATTCATGAATAATTTCGGTGGGTGATATACAGTGGTTACGACTAGCAATGCCCATGCCTACAGATAATTTGTCTTCTTGAACAAAAAGACATTTGCACATTCCTGAGGATGGAGTGCAGGAGCCAACTTCCATCATGAGGATTTTGTATTGCAATCCTATTAAACTCAGGATTTTAGTGCCTGCCTTCACCAGAATAGAAGGAGCAGCGTTTCTGTGGAGAGTGAGAATACCTACATATAAAGCAGGAAAAGGTCTAATTGTTTTAGACCTTTGTGACAACCTTTATGTAATAACTTGTCTAAAGACAAAACAGCAAAGTCTTTCTGATCCCCCATCCTGTTTGTAATGTTTCCGCACCCTGTTTTGCTTTGTCCACACCTTCCATTTCCTCACAGCACTGGAAATGTGTGACCCTCTGGAAGCTTGTTGATTATTACCGTCACCTTCATGAGAATAAAAAACCCAGGAGGTTGGGACTTATAAACTTTTTTTCATAGCCCTATGCCAGAGCCTCAGGTAATGAGTAATAAGGCCCTGGGCTGTGTAGGACTTTCTAGATGAGCTTCTGGCCATTGACTTGAATAGAACTAATGAACAAGAAATGACAGTACTGCAATTCAAAAGAAGCTGGTTAAGAATCATCTGTTCTTCCTGGTTCTTCTTTCCAAAGCATCTACTCTGACACTTTTCTGGTATAAATTCACCATGGTCTAGCCAATGTTTCATTTTTTACATTCTCTGTCCAATTGTTGTCATGGGTGCAATGACTCAAGGTTCACCCACACTTGGCTATAGTGCTTGTGGTGGTCACACATCTGGATGCAGTGCTTGCACCTTCAGCCGTGGTGCCCACTGAGGGCTGCACACTTCACTTGGGATGCTCAAGCACAGCTGGCTATACACTCTGTTAGGGCACTAAGTGGCACAGCCCCAGACAGCAGTGTTGCTATGTCTCACTCGATGGATGTACGGGTGTCTAATACCATGATCAAACTCATGGCCTTTTGCTTGCAACACAGATGGCTTTGGCCTTGTTCTGTTTTGTTTTTTTAATTATTTTTTTTATTTATTGAATCACCGTGAGAACAGTTACAAAGCTTTCAGGTTTAAGTCTTGATCATACAATGATCAAACATCCATCCCTTCACCAGTGCACATTTTCCACCACCAAGAACTCCAGTATACCCCCCATCCCATCCCTTTCTCCTGCCTGTGTAGATGATTTCCACTTTACTCTCTCTCTACTTTGATTACATTTAATATTTTGACAAAAGATATACCATTATTATTTGGAATTCCCGCCCCCCCCAACAATCAGACCTGCTGAAAAGGCACCATTATATAATTTGTTTTCTATTGCTGATTATGAAGAGCATATGATGTTGATTTCTGATATTTTACTAATTAAGTCTGGAGGGATTTCTGCTAAAAGCCACTGGGTTCCGAGATTGGTTTGTGTGCCTCTTGGATCATGGCCATTCAGGAGCCGGAGGGGCTATTCATGGGCAGCAACCTGGGGTCTCGTCGGGGTAGGGGAAAAGGGCTTGGCCCTTGTGTTTTTTTTTTTTTTGTCACATATTCTTGGAAGGCAGAGAGTCCAGTTCACTAAGTCAGGATCTGTCATCACAGTTATTACATGTCAGTATGTCATGAGCGTGATCTCTTAGTTGGGGACCAAGACACTGACATGGGACTCTGTATCACACTTTCACCTGGGTTCTGGGTTATCTCACACCCTCTGCGCCCCATGGCCCTTGGACTAGCCTGTGGACACTTGCCTGTAGGGGTGCTGGGAGGATGGCAGCACTAAACAGAGAAACCAAGACAACCCAAAGGAAATCAAGAGAAATAGTGTGAGAAGATGGTCTCTGCTCTAAGTTTACACATTTTATCATCATATAGGAATATTTTATTCATTAGGTATAATCAAATGGAACTAGAAAATTTTCCATAAATTCTTAAAATTATCACAGAAAAACAACCATGTGCATACATATATCAGAAGAATTTAACGTAAAGATGATCTATATTTCATTCCTACCTGTTATACATGAGGCGCTTGAAATCTTGAAACAAGGTGTCTTTATTTTTGTCAATAAAACCAATGACAGAATAACTAAAATAAAATAGAAAACATGCATTATTCATAATCCAAGATACATTTACATTTTTCTAGAAATATACAAGCCTTTCCAATGTCAAATATGCAACCAATCATTTATAAAGCTCACTGTCCACCTTGTTCTGTGCTAAAAAATAGCAAATTTACCTGCTAAGGAGAGGAGATGGTTTCTATTGCTCTAAAGGAACGCACATAGCAGTACCATAATTAGGATGAAGAACATCATTTTCTACCAGTTTGATGCTTACCTCAGGAAGAGATGACTTAAAAAGAGAGCTGTGTTTACCATTCGGCATCCCTAAGATCAAAGCAAAACAGCGACAGACAGGAGCTAACAGTCTCAGCCGTAGGGAGGTCAAGTCTAAGGTTCGCTCACTGGGTTCAGAGTGGGATAAAAGAATCCAAGAACTGCAAGGGATGGTAAGATTCAGATAAGCAGAGGCAAAAGGGGAGAACAGATCACACAGGGAGACATGAGATGAATGCTGGAAGCAAGCACATGCATAGGGGTTATGGAGAGAAAATGAGGAGCAAATGTTCTCGGTTTGGAGGAAAAGAGGAGCGTGAGGTGTTGGAATTCCAGTTACAATTCCAGAGAGTGATTCCAGGAAGCGAGAGAGGCAGAGAGGGGAACCGTTCTGCTGCAGTGACTCTAGGAGTGAACTTGGGATTGGGAATAAAGGTGATTGAGGAGAGGCCGGGGAGTTATCCGGCAGACACAGGGCCCAGGGTTCAAGCCTGGCACCACAGGCCCTCCCAAGAACTGCCCATATGTAGCCCTCACACCTCCCAGGGCCCCTGGAAAAGGGCCCCCTCCAACAAAGTAATGGAAAATTCTGGGTGACTGAGACAGGGCTTAGGGCAGACAGTAACTTTAGATGGGTAAACAGTAACTTTAGATGCGGCTGTTCCTTATAGCTCTGCATGAATATATATATGTATATTCATGAATATATATATCATTCATTCTTTCTGATTTTGGGGTGACACCTGGTAGTCATCAAGGCTTACTTCTGGTTCTATGCTCAGGGATCACTCCTTAGGAAGCTCAGGGGGACTACATGGTGTGCTGGGGATCAAACCCAGGTACAAACCCAGCTCCCTGCTCATGGTACAATCTCTTTGACTCCCTCTTTCCCTTCCTTTCTTCTTTCCCTCAGCACTGTGGTCAGGATTTACTCCTGGCTCTGTGCTCAGGGATGACTCCTGATGGGTTCAGAGAGGTCATATGGGGGTACTGGGGATCAAACCTAGATCGGCTGCATGCAAAACAAGTTGCCTACCAACTGTACTATCACTCCAGCCCCTGTTTCCTTTCTTGATAATCACATCAATCTGAGGAATTCTCATCTTTTAAACCTTCATTCCAAACTGTCTCTCCCACCTAAGCTCTTCTTCCTACTGCCTTTAAGACACTCCTGTTGGAAATTCTGACTAACCTAACTCAATCTATTATAACTCCTAATAATCAGACTTCATGCTCCTTATTTTGGCCCTCAAGGCTCATTGTCTGTGATTTCAGTCTGCTTTTCCAGGCAGGGCTACTTTTTTATGCTATAAGAGACACTGCAGTCAAAATGGACCTAGTTGCTATTTCCTAAATATTTTTAGCATCCTTCCCACTTCTTCCTATAAAAATAATTTCTAGCATCTAAGAACCAGCCACAGCTCTTTCCTAGGTTGATCACACATAGTTTAGTAGCAGTGTATCATTTGCTTATTTTGAATTCTGACACTCATTACTCATATGGCAATTATTTTATTGTTATTTTTTAGCAAGGAGAGTCATTCCTGGCCATGCTCAAGGGACCACATGGTGCCAGGGACAGGTTCTGGGGCTCCTGCAAGCAAAGCATGTGCTCCTGACCTTCCAGCCACTTCCCTGCCTCTGCCCCACCCACCCCCCCAGAACCCGTGAACAAATCTTTTGTGGGAAAAATATGTAGTTCCAGGAAGTGCCTTCTCCTCTGGGGAGGAGAAGCCTGTTCCGTATTTAGAAAGCTGCTCAAGGCCCGAGGAGGGCAGTTTTAGGATGAGACCAAGGGAGCTTTCACACAGACCTGCAGGGGGCAGCGGCACTGACCACAAGCAAAGGCTAACGCCAAGTGGCCGCAAGTCAAGGCATGCCTCCGGCTACCACAGAGTGGAAGAAAAGCAAGCACAGTCCTCCTGAGAGCGTCTCAAGAACCCGGGATTCAGAACAACTAGAGAATATATTTATTTCTCTTTTTTTGGGCCATCAACTTGTGGTAATTTATCATAGCAGCCTTCGGAGAGTAACCCTCGAATGGGGCCAAGGAGATAGCTCAAGGTACGTGCAAAGCTGGCTTTTCTTGCATGGCCCTAGAAATATGTACGACTGGACTGAGCAGTAGCAAACTGTAACATCAAGTATTGCTGGGGATGGTCCTGGGGATTACCCCTCAAACAATTGTTTTTGGTCCATCCGATAGCACAGTGGGTAGGGCGTTCGCCTTACAAGCGGCCAAAATGGCCAACCCGAGTTCGATTCCTCCGCCCCTCTCGGAGAGCCCGGCAAGCTACCGAGAGTATTCGATATGCCAGACACAGTAACAACAAAGTCTCCAATGGAGACGTTACTGGGCCCGCTCGAGCAAATCGACGATCAACGGGAGGGCCTTTACCTTTACCTTTTTTACCCAGAAGTGCACGCGGCCGACCCGGGTTCAATGCCTACGTCCCTCTCGGAGAGCCCAGCAAGCTACCAAGAGTATCTCGCCTACACAGCAGAGCCTGGCAAGCTCCCTGTGGTGTATTTGAAATGCCAAAAACAGTAACAAGTCTCACAATGGAGACGTTACTAGTGCCTGCTCAAGCAAATCGATGAACAATGGGAGGACTGTGCTACAGTGCTACACAGAAGTGCTCAGGGTGCCATATAGAGTTCCAGGAATAAAACCCAGGTCAGCTGTGTGCACAGCAAGTGCCTACCCACTGTGCTATCGCTTCAGCCCCTCGATTCTTTTCTTTTTTTTTTTTTTAAACCTCTAAGGTGTTTCTATTTTTAAGTTTTATTTTCTGATCAATTTCTCCTTGTAATCAGAAAATGTGACTGGCAAGAATTTCACTTTTTCAAATATTATTTGAAAAGTAACATGAGATAAAAGGTTTCTGTTCATATAGTTAACCCAACTACTTTCTTCACAAAGAGATGTGACTTTCCTCTCTGGGACTGGAGGTTGCTGTCTTTCACCTCTTCTTCTGCTTCTCTTCTTCACTTCCACTCCTGACTAGACCTCTTCACTCTGAACTCAGCATGGGCATCCATTCCCCAGGAAGACTTCTCTGTACTCTTCATTTTGGCTGAGTGATTCTGCTTCGGTATTCCCCAAACAGTCTGTCCTTTCTTTTAGTGACTTACGATGTGTCTCTTTTATATCCTTCCCTAAACCATGAGCTCCTGCAAGGGGAAGCCCATCTCACCCATCTTTCTATCCCAGTCCTTAAATTCTTGATTTACTTAATTGTCAGCTGATTTTGGCGGAACCCTAAGAATTGTGCATGGTCTCATCGTTTGTGCTCAATAAATGCTTGAAAAGCAAGATATGAATGACACAATGCCCATTCTTTTTTCAGTGGAGGTGAAAATAGACTGACATGCAAAATGACTGAATAATGCAGGCGACCCGGAAAACAATGTAAACTTTCCCTGGTTATATTTTCCTGCAGTGAAGCTGCATGCCGGTCATCGTGTGAGGGGCTAAAATAAGGTACTCACATGACATCACCTGCATAATGTCGGATCCGAAAATCTCGATCAAATTCCAGGATTTTGTCTGTGGCACAGAGCTAAAAAATTAAAAAGGAGATTGTTTTGAAAACAGGCATTTTCGAAGTCTGGAAAATAGATTCCACCTTAATATGATAACATCACAAATTATGGTATCAGTGCGGATGAAAAAAGTGTGGGGAGCTTATTTAACTACCTGGCTTATATGGTAAAGACTAGAAACAATCCCTATAAACCCAAATAACCAGACTTCACTTCCCAGTGATCTCTGCAGTGGGATGTGACCAAAATGAACAAGTTCTGGACAACACCAGGTACGTGAAATGAATGAGGTGCGACTGTCTCAGGACAAAACAAGTGGTAAGCAGACAATTCTCCTGATCCTTCCCTGCTCCTCCCATACACAGGATTCACAGAGAATCATTTCTAAAAGGCGGAAGTGGTAGGAGATAGAAGTCTCTGAGAGAAAAACAGACCTCTACTGTCTTATGGCACTTAAAATCTAAACTGCATCTTACAGAGCCCAGTTTCGCCCACCTGAGTGATTCTTCTCCCTGTCCCATTTAAGGAGAACCATATCAAAGCTTTCTCTCTGCTAGACACATAGCTCTCACTCACTCATAGCAGATATAGAAGAATTAAAGCTGTAGAGCCCTGGAAATAGCTCAAGTAGTGCACGCTTTGCATGCATGAGTTCCAGGTTTGATCCCTGGCACTGCATATCGTTCCCTGAGAACCACCAAGGGTGACCCTACAGCTCTGAGCTGGGAGTAGCCCCTGAACACTACTGGGTGTGACTCAAAACTCAAAAAAAACAGAAAGTAAAAAAATAAAAGAACTAAATTTCTATTACGCATACATGGGAACTGAGGCTCAAAGATATTAGGTAGTTGGCCCAAGGTAACACAATTATAAATAATCCCTCTGCAAAGAATTCCTGGGATAGAATATGATGTCTGGCTCTCCCACACACATGACAACCTGGGTCACCTGTCTTCTAAGCTGGGATGCTGGGTGTCTCATTTCACAGAAGAATAACTTTCTGCCACTCTCTTCTCAATGCAGGGAAATGCTTTATGGGAAAGACCATAAAGAAAACAAAAAAAATCTGTTTCCTATAAAACAAAATTGCAGAGCTTTCTGCAGTTTTCCCTCTCATAGTAGCACCTAGCACTCCTTTGTCTGTTCTATAAAGAACCATGTGATACTCTTCAGATTCTAAGTAGACGCCCAAGAACCCATAAAGCATAAAGTGCTTAAGCTTTTAGTGTTAGATAACAACAACCCCAGTCTGGCTGGTTCTGTAATGATAATGAGATTGTCAAAAAGATTCATTTGTCCATTAATCTAGTAGTTACTAGTATATGAATGAACTGAAGAGTGAGTAGTTCAATGATAGGAATTCAGAGCTAACCTTCCCAGGTTCAAGTCCTGACTCTGGCATCAATTTGCTGTTTTCTTTATCAATAGTCTCAGAGGCTAATGAACTCTGAATGTTTAACAAACTACGGAGACCAAGTGTTTACATACTCAGGCATTTCCAGTATTTCCAAAATACTTAGCTTCCCTCTCCTTTTCCTTCTATAAACTATTTTTAAGGCACTTTTATTTAAAGTCTTCTAAAGGAAAAGGACCCAAAAGATGGCCATTGGTTCTTGTTAGGGGTTACTTCTGACTCGGTGCTTGGGGGTACCTGGGACACCAGTCTAGACCTCCTAGGGTACTCCAGCCCTTTGAACCATCTCCCTGGCCCATAACAATACTCTTTTGTTAGTTTCTTCACATGGATAAACCTTCTAATTCACAATGTTGAGTAAAGAAAGGAAAACACAAAAGGATACATATGGTATTAGTTTGATTTTTAAAATTGGACTTAGATACTTGAGGTTTTCAGGGTGCTGGTAATGTTCTATCCATTGACTTGGCTGGTGGTTAGACCAATGTTCATCTTATGATTATTAGTTGGTCTGATAATTTGTATTTTATGTACTTCCCTACATTTAATACACATTAAAAAAAGATTAAAGCAGCCTGTATTTTAACAGAGGCAATATCCTTATATTTAAATAATGCAAAAATTCAGACTTCACGCCCGACCGAGGTCACCAGCTGTCCCCCACGAGCGGCTCTCCGGCATGGCCATGACTCCAGAGCACAGAAACCAATCTCTTAACTATCTAACTTTTAATAGAAATACTTCCAGGGTTAATAAGTAAAACAGCAGAAATCCAAAACCTATTGCTATTGCGGCCGCACGACATCATTTTATTCTTAAACCAAGATGTAGAAAGCAAATCATTTCACAACGCTGTTTCAGCATATCTGATTGGGGGGGGGTCATAAACTCTAAACAATAATTGTGCATCTTCTATCGAAACAATGTATCTAGTCAAAGTAGATAGAGTATTAACTAGAACTCATCTGCCACACAGGAATTGGGAGGGGTGGGAGGTGGGGTTCTATTGGGGTTCACAGTTAAAAATAAGTATTGGTAAAGGGAAATGTGTTTGATACTTACATGACTGAGACCTAAACCCGAAAGCTCTGTAACTTTTCCCACAGTGATTCAACAAAGAAATAAATTATTAAAATAAATAAATAAATAAATAATGCAAAAATTCAGCTGATCTGAATATAGAAGGCTTGATATTTTTCTTTTCTGTAATAAAAGTTTTATATTATCATTCAACTTTAGATGTTAATATTTTATTCATTTCTTTTTGGACTTCAAAAAGCAGTGATCAGAGGACCCAGGGGTACCTCCCAGTAATTTCCAGTCACCTGGGATGCCAGATTAATGTGAAGGCCCAAGGTTGTGGGTTGCTCAAGCCCCAGGTTGCTGGGGATTACTTGGGTTCCCTTGGTGGTCCAGGGGTCACTAGGGCCACACACCTAATGGTTGTTGGAGGCCTCTAGGTTTGTACCAAATGATGCTCAGGGGAACATGTGGTGCCAGGGATTGAATGGGGATTGCCACATGCAAGGCATATGCCTTAACCCCTATACTATCTGTTTGGCTCCATATGTCATTACTTCAAATAGTAACTTTATGACAGTTACAAGATTTTCCATAATAATTTTAATACATAAGGGACAATTTCACCCCTAAATAACAGTTACAAGCCACAAACCTCTAATTTAGCCTTAACAGCCCTATCTAATTCGTAGCCAACAACAAATAAAAACACCTGGCTTAGCATACGGGACAGTAACATTATTTAACAGAAAGATTCACAGTGGTTAAAATATCCTGACAGCTTGCTTATTTCATTCCTTTCCTTCATTAGGCAAAAATCCCAGAGAAAAACACACTCAGGATTCGTCTGGGGGATGATGCTGGAGGAAGGAGCCACCTGGCCTGAGAGTTCTGGAAACTCAAGCTCTCACATTAAAAAAAAAAAAACAACTCATCCCCCACAGAAAAATTACTATTCAGCATATCCTCGTTGATGAGTAGCAACCTTTTTAAAGTACTAAGTACACTTGCTATCTTAAGAATGCCATCACAGGGAGACGGGAGGTACCCCATGCCTTGCAGCTTAAATCTCCACCCTTTTCATCCCTAGCTCCCCGAAACACGGCCAGGTATAGCCCCATGGCATCAGCTGTGCCCCTGGGCCTAAGTAGAACCCCCTCACTGACACAATCAGGTTGAGTATCATAGGAAATCGCCCCCTGAGATTGTATTTCAAAACATTTGGCTAATTGGAAGGAGGGGGTGGTGCTGGAAGGGGGTAAAGTGATGTGCATGAAACTCTATCAGCAACAGGACGATACACCACAGTGCAAAAACTTATTAGGGGAAAGAAAGCACCTCTCATAGAAGCAGACTGTTGAGTGGGGGGCAAATTGAGGAGGTGGGGGCATGTGGACATGAAAGATGTGGACATGGGTGAAGGGATTGTTGTTCAAACATCGAATGCCTGAAAGCCAATCATGAATAACTGCAATATCACAGTGACTAAGTTAAAATAAGAAAAAAAAATTTGGCTGATAAACTTAATTCAGGTATATAACTGGCCAAGATGAAACATATCAAAGTGAGGAGATTTTCTCATGCGAGCGTCATGGTTATTTTTTTAAATGAAGTGTGTTTGTGTGCAGGGTTGTGGGGAGGGGCAGGGAGATCATTCAAAGGGCTGGAGCACAAGCTCTGTTTGTTGAAGCAGCAGGTTCAATCCCCAGCACTAGTCCCCTGAAAACCTCCAGGTGTGGTCCCCAAACAAATATATCACAAATAAATAAATGAAGTAGAACCATGCATGTTTCATTTAAAAATTCAATATTCCATTATTTGGCATGAATATGATCAATTTAATTCCATTTTACAAACACTCTTTGTCTGCCATCTGGTAGGCACAATGCTAGGCAAAGCTCCAAAACCTGAACTGTGCTTCGGAAAAGGGCATTTATAACCCATTCTTCAAAGACAGGAATTTACCAAACAATCAAGTCATCTTTAGGAACATTGCTTTAAATTATTAATGTTGTATCTAACTTTGCTCACTGTTCTGTCCACAAGGATGATGGCTGAAAAATGAGAGGCATGTATTAAGAATTTGTATAATATGTGGGGAAAAAATGAAGGAATATCTTCAACCAGACTCCTCAGGTCAAAGTTCGGATTGCAGTAACTCAAAACTGACTGGCACCAGTGCTACAAGTCAACCCGCAGTGAAATATAAAGGGGAATGTTTTAGAAAGAAACTGGCCTCAAATATTTATCAGTCAATAATCTATTTCTTGATGATTTGTGGTTTAACTAACTAATGATGAAATCTTGCGGTTCTTATTACAGAATTTCAAAGGGAATTTTTAACGAGTTACAAAGCACTTATTTATGCTAAACACTGGCAGAACTTCACAGATTTACTTGGAATTAGGGAGGAGCATCCATATCTGCCCTTTTCGCCATGGAAGTAAGGGAATCTGAGGAATGCTTCTGTTTCAGCTTGTGGATGCCAGACCAACATAGATCTGCACAACACAGATTTGTAGACAACACTCAGGGACAATGCTGTGCCCCTTCTAGGAAAAACATATTAATAAATTAGATGCAAGGATCTGAACAGAAGTCTACTAACCACAACACCAATGATCATAGGATGGTCATGTATTTACACTTTTTTTTTTTGGTTGTTTATTTTGGGGCCACACCCAGTGTGCTCAGGGCTTATTCCTGGCTCTGCACTCAGGGATCATTCCTAGTCGGCTCAGGGGAATGAACCCATATCAGTCGCATGCAAGGAACGAGACTTACCTACTATTGCTCAGGCCCTGATTTATAACATTTTTAGCACGCAAAAAGAAAAGGGGGAGTCAAAAGGATACCCAGACATTTAAGAAATGAATTATCTTGTAACATCTGGAATGACAGCTTGAATTTCTCTGGTTTTGAGAAAGCCATATAATCTCAAAAACTATAGTAGAGCATACAAGCTACATTTCAGAACTGAGGATCACAGCAAAAAGTCAAGGACAAAAGCTATTTTCAGTGCCAGAATGATCAGGGATGCAGGAGCAGAATTCTAGCACATGAACAGGGACTCTGCACCTATTGGTTATAAATGACATCATGTTTTCGGAAGAGTCATGTACATTTTCTCTTTTTCTAGTAAACTGTACAGTCTGGAGCTCCCTCTCCTGGATATTATGAATTTTACCATGAACCAGATAAGCAGTTTTTATTCACAACAATAAATCATTTAATGGATGTTTATGGCCTCTTCTCCTTATGCTGAGTGCACATTCTTTTTAACCTAACACATAAAGCCATTTGATTGTCACACAATGAGGAAAATCTTACAGATCACAATGAGAAGACATCTCACAAACTCATATTACCTTCCGGCTGGAGAAATGGCCATGCTTGCCCAATTTGCTATTCAGCGCCTCCAAGAACATTTCATCGGTGACTTTGCCCACATTCATGCAGGCATCATCGAGGATGGCAATGATGCCTTTGTGCTGCTGTTCCACGAGGTCCACAATGATCTGATTGTTGAAGTAGTCGATCTAGAGGAACAGTGGGAAGCAAGCCCAGAAGACAGAGAACAGGTCAGGTAAACACCAGTGCCTCTGCAAGGAACCCTAGATGAAGTGACTTTGATACCAAGTACATAAATGACACCCACAAGGTGCAATCTTAAGATGAGCACACATTCTGCCAGAGGTTAATTCTTTTTCTTTGCTGACTTTATTCATTTCATGAAAAATATGTTTTCCTAGGTCAAAAGAATCTATAGTACAAAAAAATTAAAAACCACTGTCTTAAATGATTATAACTCAAAGGGAAAGAAAAGAAAGAAAGAAAGAAAGAAAGAAAAGGAAAGGAAAGGAAGAAGGAAAGAAGAAAAAAAGAAAGAAGGAAAAAGAAGAGATGAGCCGAGAAGAGAAGAGATAGCCTTCCTCCCAACACTGACTCCTGTTTTGGCTTTTAAGCCATTTTAATATAGCCAAAGTTAGCACAAACTTTTTCTCCTACATCTTTTTATTCCGATAGCCTGTAGCAACATGTCACCGCACACAGGGAGCACAACACAGGGAGCACCACACACAGGGAGCACAGGCCTAAAGAGGAACATTCTTTGGAGAGGGGCAGCTTACTGTCCTTTTTATCTGCTGTGGTGATGTTCCCTGTCTTATTCAGGTGATGTGTAATCTGAGCATTATCTCCATTTTCTTCTCTAAGATCCCCACTGTCTTAGTGGACGATTCCAGTGATTCTTACACTGTTCCACCCTACTATAAACCCAGGGACTCATGCTGATATTTATTTATGGCTTTCAGCTCCGTCCCTGAGTAGTTTTCACTTTCTATCTATATTGGAGATTCTCAATAGAGGGTGACAGCAATTATGCAACGTCTGCAGGTATTTTTGAGGGTTATGACTTGCAGTGTTACTGCACCTGTTGGTAGAAGCCAGAATAGTGCTGTACACCCAATAATGCACAAGAGAGTACCCCCGCTCCAACAAAGAATTCCCTGGTTCAACTTGCCCGTGGTACAGAAATAGAGACATTCTGGTCTAAATTTTTACTTTTATCATAGGCATTTATTAAATTTCTAATTGTGAAGAAAAGCTCTTTCCATCTTTGGAAAAAAAAATTCTTGAAACTCAAGCACAAAACTTTCTAAGTCTACAACTGTACCTCATGGTGTTTCAATAATAAAAATTTTTTAAAAAATTCTTAAATTACTCAAAGGCAGTAACTATATTAATAGCTAAAATGTTAGACCTAGTCTTTTGTGACAAAAATTTTGGGTTCCCTAAAACTGCAATTGTATGACTGAAATTGATTCATCTTTGCTAAAGTGTTCAGTAATTTCCAATTTCCATGTCTAATTGTTGCTTTATATGTTGCTTAAAGTAGAGGATTTCAAACCGGGCTATTTCAGCTACCACTGCCATCCCCAGGAGGTGTCTAAAGAATTGAGGGGCCAGGAGAGATGTGACAGGTTAGACTGGGGCAAAGGGCTCTGGGACGCTCATTTCCTGTCCAAATAGAAGAGCTTCATGCCTGAGAGAAAAGTTCATAGTAACTAAAATGGCTGCTTTAAACTAGAGCAACGAAACCCTCTAAAAGTTTAGTTTTAGTTAAGAATAATGCACTAAAAGAGAGGGACAGATGTAGAAGGACTGTACTCATTTGTGGAGTATAAAATAACATAACACGAGACCCACACCCAAGGACAGTAGATATAAGGACCAGGAATACTGCCCCATAGTTGGAAGCCTGCCTCATGAGTGGGTGGGGAGAGGACAGCTGGAATAGATAGAGAAGGGATCACTAAGAAAATGATGGTTGGAGGAATTGATCAGGATGAGAGAGGTGCGTCGAAAGTAGATTAAGGACCAAACATGATGACTTCTCATTATCTGCATGGCAAAACATAATGCCCAAAAGTAGAGAGAGCATGGGGAATACTGTCTGCCATGGAGGCAGTGGGAAAGATGGGGGTATACTGGGGATATTGGTGGTGGGGAATGTGCACTAGTGGAGGGATGGGCGTTTGATCATTGAGTCACTGTAACTCAAACATGAAAGCGTATAACTATATCTCACGGTGAATCAATAACATTTAAAAAAAATAAGAACCTATTCATCAATTATAAAAATGCATCACCCCAATGGGAAAGGTTCGCAGCAGGGTGAACTGTGTGTATATGGGAGACAGCCTATAGGAACTCTCTAGACTCTGGGCGTAAATTTATGTAACTTAAAATTGCCATTAAATATAAGACTACCAAAACTTTTAAGTTGTATTATATAAGAATAAGAGTTGAATCACATTTAGAATCCTCAAGAGTAATGTTTAAAATGAAATTATGGTCCATTTACTAATTAAGAGAGAAAATTAAAAGTATCAGGATTGAAAGTTCCCATGCTATTTTAATATTACAGAATTTATTTCAAATGTAATACTTTATTATTACAGAATTCACTTTTCAAATTTTCTTTAAATGAATCAATGAAGGAGACAATCAGACATCATATCCTGATGAAGTGAGGATGCGTTACAAAGTGATAAACAGAAAAGTCTTGGCCCTCAATCTAGTTCAGCATCTCTAATTAACATATAAGGCACTCAAGGGCCACAGAAACACTGATGACACCCTGGGAATCTGGAGAACAAAATCCAGAAGTAGAAAGTGACACTGAACGAACAATTTGTTCTTTTCAACCAAAGATTTCAGGGGAGGAGAAAAATGAAGGAACAGAGAAGGTTGATGTAAGAGACCTATCAACCAACCACAATCTAAGGACCAGCTCTGGAACCCAATTCAAATGAATGAAACACTCTAGAAACTGAGAAAAGAGGGAAATAGGAGCATGAGCAGAGGGACACCTGACAACAACAAGGAACCACTGTGTGTTCTCTTAGGTGCGATAATGGTAGTTTGTTATGGTTTCTGCATAAGTCTATCTCTTAAAAAAACTCACCAAAATATTTACAGATGAAATGATGAGAGATTGGAGATTTCGTTTAGAATGGTACAGGTAACATAAGTATGGCCATGTGATTATTCTTCTAACTGGGTGGTGGGTATAGCAAGCTCCCTGTATTAAGATCTTTGCTCTCATGTATGTTTAAAAATTTTCACAAAGAGAAGGCAATTACTTAGTATATTTAAAAGCTGAGGTTTTAAAAGGAAATACCCAGAATAGAGATTCTAATTTGTGGGAGGATGTGGGGGGGGGGAGGGGTTGGCATGTAGTCAGTTACTATTACATTGGGGTCAGTTTTCTGCTCCTTCTATTTCTTGGCTTCACTAGGAATTTCAGTATTTTTAGGACTTTTGCTCCATTATCAAATGTTGATAACCTACAGCAATTGCTGACTTTTCCCTTTATCAGCTCTGCCTGTGGAATCTGCTGATTGCTAAGGACTATTTTTGACTATTATCTCGGAGTCACATCAGAATAACAAGTTTCGTAATTAAATTTGCCATAAAAACCCAAGCTTTAGTCATTTTATCTTATTAGGTTTCGGAGCCACCCTTAGCTGTACTCAGAGATTACTCCTTGCAGTGCTCAGGGGACCAGGTATGGTACCAGAGATCAAACCTGGGTGAGCTGCATGCAAGACAAGCAATTTACTGGCTCTAAGCTTCAGTTATTACTATGAACTATATTATCCATTTTAAGAAAGTTTTATGTACGTTTAATGAATTAGGGCATTTGCCTTGCATGTGGCCGACCTGGGTTTGAATCCTCTATCCCTCTCAGAGAGCCCAGCAAGCTACCGAGAGTATTCCGCCTGCACAGCAGAGACTGTCATGCTCCCCGTGGCATATTCAATATGCCAAAAACAGTAACAAGTCCCACAATGGAGATGTTACTGGTGCCCGCTCGAGCAAAAATGGGAGGACAGTGCTACAGTGCTACATTTTAAACGTGTTATGACAAGAATAGCTGAGATAAGTACCAGGAGTTTTACTCCATGGCTTGGAGGTCAGCTGCACATGCTAGGGAAAAAGGCAGCTCAGATAGAGAAGGGAGCACCAAATAAAGGGTGTTTGGAGGATCCTCCCAGGATGGGAGATGCGTGCTGAAAGTAGCCGATAGACCGAACTTGATTGCCACTCAATGCCTCTTTTGCAAACCACAGCACACAAAAGGAGAGAGAAAACAAAAGGAAATGCCCTGCCACAGAGGCAGGGTGGGGTGGGGGGATGAGGGGTGGGAGGGATACTGGGATCAGTGGTGGTGGAGAATGGGCACTGGTGGAGGGATGGGTACTCGATCATTGTTTAACTGAAACACAAGCACAAATATTTGTAAGTCTACAACTTTACTTCATGGTGTTTCACTAATAAAATTTTTTAAAAAAGTGTTATGAAATTTCACTACGGAAATAAAAATTGTAATTAATTCTATAGCTCATTTGTAACTAGGTAAAATTCACACTAATATTCTTGAACTAATTTTTTTATGGTAGACTGATGCCACCTAATAGAAAGCAAAGATGCAATTTGAGGCAGGAATGCTATTTACTTGTCCATCATCCCCTTTTTCTAGATGAGAAAAGACTGCAAGGAAGTTGGAAAGGAATATAAAAGAAATTTAAAACCATATCTACAGCCTTCCTTTCATTACTTTTGTGTTAGAAAAAAATGTTGACTTTATTTTACATCATATCTTATCACTTGGTAAGAGTGGTAAATACAGTTTTATAATTACAGAAGAGAATTTCACATTTTTAAGTCTGCTCTCAAAATTGTTTTTAAAATACCCATAAAATTAAAAGAAAAATTTCTGTTGCATTTCTATCCTGAAAAGGACATTCACTGAGGGGAACTTGAACACCAAGCAGGTCAGGTCTCTTAGCTAGGACCTCTACGACTTGTCCCTGGATTTATACTTTCTGGTTCTCTTGGACCAGACTACTTTGAACTGTCAGTAAAACTGACTTGGTATTTGTCAATATTAAGTCCCAGGGGGAAATCACAAAAAAGAGATGCATCAAATAAATGGGACCCAAAAGAAAATAAATGGAAATTAAAAAGTCACGACAGGTGTTCTCTTGCATGGGTTTCAGAAAACATAAACATTAACTGAAGACAGTTAAAACTGCTACTGCATTTACAATGTAGAAGACAATAGGGAAATAATGAGGAGAAAAAGCAAAGAAAAGGAGGAAGGAGAAGAAATTAAATACGGAAGCAAAAGGCAGAAGTTCCTGCTCTGAATAATGTATGAATAATAATAGCCTCTAACAGACAGAAATGAACAAGAAAGCCCAGGTGGTAACAGCCATAAAGTGAAAATTTGAAAGTTGCTGATTACTTCTGGGTAGCAATAAGGGAGTCTTATCAGATTAGAGAAGTCCCTGTCAAGTCTGAAAATGAATTTTATTACATATTGCAAAAACAAAATCCAAGGTTTAAATGTTTTAACCATTTAAGATTTTCAAGGAACAGCTAAACAACTAATATTTGCTATTATGATTAATACGTGAACATAGGAAGCCAAGAGTTCACTCACATGCTTCCAGGGGATGCCTTCCCGCTGATATTCCTCTTGTTCTTGCTTAAGAACCAGTTGGATGAAGAGCTGCTGGAGTTTCTCATTGCAGTAATTGATGCAGAATTGTTCGAAGCTACCAGAAAAGAAATTAGTTAGACTTAAACAAATAAAAATAAATAAACAATAGGAGTTTAAGTGTATTATCCAGTTTACCTGTTGTTCTCAAAGATTTCAAAGCCGTAGATATCCAAGACACCAATAACAGTGTTTTTTCCATGGACTGTGGTGTCATAATTCTTGACCTCAATGATATCATTGATGCGAGACACAATCCAACAAAAAAGGCGCTCATATATTGCCTGCAAAGAAAGTAGGGGTGTAAATTCTTGCTCGATTAACAATGAGCCCTTTGTTCGGATCTGTGATGAGTCTTAAATTTCTATCTTCTCCTTATTGCTTAGCCTAGCTGTTATTTATACAGACTGCAGTAGCACAGCGGGTAGGGCGTTCGCCTTACAAGCGGCCAACATGGCCAACCCGAGTTCGATTCCTCCGCCCCTCTCGGAGAGCTCGGCAAGCTACCGAGAGTATTCGATATGCCAGACACAGTAACAACAAAGTCTCCAATGGAGACGTTACTGGGCCCGCTCGAGCAAATCGACGATTTATCTAAGTAAAAACAATTAAAATTGTGGATCCTCTTATAAAATAACTACCTGATGTATCTAAAAGAAATAGTCTATATTTTTAAAAGATTACAGTGTCGCTCTATATGTACTGCATCCATTCAATACACCTGGTACATTCTGAACCCAGCTACAGCAACACTTCACCTACTTTCTTGTCAAGCTACTTTTTTTTTTTAATTGTTAATTTCATCAACTATAAAAGATGGGGAAAATGGGGCTGGAGTGATAGGACAGCGGGCAGGGCATTTGCCTTGCACGCAGTTGACCCGGGTTCAATTCCCAGCATCCCATATGGTGCCCCGAGCAAACTGCCAGGAGTAATTTCTGAGTGCAGAGCCAGGAGTAACCACTGAGCATCGCTAGGTGTGACCCAAAAATCAAAAAGAAAAAAAGGTGGGGAAGGATGAGTCAATATCTATGCTCCACTAAAACTCTATGAATTCTAAAAATACACTGACTGAAAATGCTGAAGATCTGAGGCGAGGGCCAGGGAGATGGCTCAAAGGGCTGGAGTCCACACTTTGCATACAAGAGCCCCACTTTGATCCCTGGCATCCATCACATGGTCCTCCCTTGGGAGCAACCCCAAAGAACCTAGCTGGATCAGCCCCTGAGCACCACCAGGTGTGACCTGAAACCAGACCAATTAGAAGCAAAACCCAAGATCTGAGCCAAAAGGTCACAGCCTGAAATTTTTTGATCAAACACACATCAGTGCAGCAGGATACATTCACCAACAGACATTAAGTACAACGCTAACATGTATTCACATCCTGATACAAACACATCCTGCAATGTCTTTTACCCCTGCACCCCCAACATCTCCCTCCAAGACCCCACTCTACATCCATACATAACTACACTCGCCTCTCTTCCTACCCTTTCATCACTCTTCAATCCCCTCCAGTCTTCTAACGCCCATGAATCCATTAAATGGTTCATCAAAGACCTCAAGGGCTTCTAAGGGACATCTAATTCATGCAAACAGCGTCATTCAGTTAGGTTTCTCACTCTTGAAACACTCCCCTTTCTGGGATCTATGATGCCACATTCTTAAATTTTCTCTTATTTCACTCTGAGAAAGTCACCCATCTACCACTACCTTTAAAAGCCGAAGTTCTTCCTGGTGCTCTTCTACTCATCTAACACCTCTTCCTTAAAACATATCCAAAGTTAAACAACAGTAACATAAGAATGTTCCCCAAGAACACCAAATAAAGGGTGTTTGGAGGATCCTCCCAGGAGGGGAGATGCATGTCGAAAGTAGACTATGGACTGAACATGTTTGCCACTCAATGCCTCTTTTGCAGACCACAACACCCAAAAGAAGAGAGAGAACACAGGGGATTGCCCTGCCACAGAGGCAGGGGGGGATGGGGGGATGGGGGTGAGGGGGATATTATCCATGGTGGTGGAAAATGGGCACTGGTGGAGGGATGGGTATCTGATCATTGTATAATCAAACCCAAGCACAAAAAAATTGTAAATCTACAACTGTACCTCATGGTGTTTCACTAATAAAAAAAAAATTTTAAAAAAAAATGTTCCCCAAGTATTAGTTCCACATGGGCCTCTCCTCTCTGAGCGCCAGACTCATGCTTGGCTGCCACATGGAGAGTGATGCTTAGATGTTTCATAACCATCTCAAACTTAAGTCCTGTCAAAACTCTTGATCATCCCACTTCCTGAAACTGTTCATATCCTCATATTCTATTTTCACCATGAATAAATGACATTAGAAACATAGGAATACATCTGTTCAGTCAACAAACACTTTATGACCACATACTGAGTATGTAGTTTATTGGATATGTACTATTCAACATATAGTTGGAGTCCAGAGGAGAATATTCAGAAAGACTGGGAAAAGCCTCTTGAAGAAAGGGGGTTGAGGTCAGATGGATGAATAAGAGTTAAACAGGTGAGAGGGGAAGAGAAGACCAAAGCAAGAAGAAAAGGCAAGTGAAAAGTCACTGTGGTTAGGAGGAGAGAGGGATGAGGATAGTCTGTCAGACCTATAAGAAATTAATATGTTGGAATGAAAGAGTCAAAATGTGGTTGCAGCAAGGCAAGAAGTCAGGCTGAAGTCAGAGCTTGTAGAGTGACTATCCTTAGTCCTACCATTTTCTGAAACTTCTGGCCCTATGGCCTGCATTTTCCAAATACAGTCTGTTTCAACTAATTTTATCCCCATTTTCACTGCTACTGTCCTAGTTAAAGCTGTCATTTGTTGTCTCTCCTAGATTAGGGGATTATTGAAAACTCCCCTTAATTGGTCTCTGTGCTACCCACTCACGCCCTATCCTCCATCCCCCGTAATATGCTCTGTACTCCATAGGGCAGAGTAACTTCTTTCAAAATTTAGATTTAATGTCATTAACCCTGCTTAAAATCCTCCAGTCTATATTGCATTTGGACAGATAGAAATTCTACAAGAAATGAAAATCCAAGTATGAGAATTACAAGAGTTAAAACTGGAATACAGTGCTATCTAATAAAGCAACAAAAGAAAATGTCAACTGTTAGAAACTGAAATCATTTGCCAAAGGGGTAATAGTCAAAGGATTAAAGTTATGATTTCTTATGAGCTGAAAATGAAAAGAAATTAAAATGCGGGGTTGGCGCGATAGCACAGCGGGTAAGGCGTTTGCCTTGCATGCAGCCAACATGGCCGACACAGGTTCAATTCCCAGCATCCCATATGGTCCCCCGAACACTGCCAGGAACAATTCCTGAGTGCATGAGCCAGGAGTAACCCCTGAGCATCGCCGGGTGTGACCCAAAAAGAAAAAAAAAAATTAAAATGCACAAAGGCCCTCCCGTTGATCATCGATTTGCTCGAGCGGGCCCAGTAACGTCTCCATTGGAGACTTTGTTGTTACTGTGTCTGGCATATCGAATACGTCACGGGGAGCTTGCCAGGCTCTGCCATGCGGGCGAGATACTCTCGGTAGCTTGCCGGGCTCTCCGAGAGGGGCGGAGGAATCGAACTCGGGTCGGCCATGTTGGCTGCGTGCAAGGCAAACGCCCTACCGCTGTGCTATCGCTCCACAAAGAATATACCTAAATAGTTGTCAGAGTAGATTTTAATACTTAAAGATACTCAAATATCTAATAATGAAAATATTTGAAAAAAATATTGAAAAAAATACTTAAATAGCTAATAATGAAAGTAAAAGTAACCATGAAGTATGACTACACAATCATGAAATAAATAAATTCAAAGTTTAAAATCAATACGCCCTTTGACCCAGCAAGCTCATTACTGAGAGTCCATCCAACTGAAATGAAAGCTCAGCAGAGTAAGGCAGAAGTATAATATCCTGCAACATTATTGGCAGAAGTAATAAGGTGAGCGACTTAAGAAATAGATGATGGCACAACCTGAGTGTTCAAGAACCGATGACTGGATAAAGAAACCGGTACGTATAAATAAAGGAACAGTACTCAGCTACAGGAAGGGACAAAATTGTGTAATTCTCTTCTATGTGGATGGAACTGGAGGGTCTGGTGCCGAATGAAGTCAAAAGGAGAGGAACATACAAGGAATGACCTCTCACTGATGCGGTATAGAAAGAACACAAGAGGGGAGTAACGAATGTCCAAAGACAATGGAGATTTGAAGTTACTCTACGGCACTGAGTTCGCCATGGGTAGAGAACAGGGGACAGGGGAGTGTGGTCAGACACTCTGGTGGAAGTGTGTGTGGTGTTAGAATGCTGCATGTATGTATCAAATCATGCCATGAACAGTACTGTAAATCCTGGTGTCTAAAATGTAAAACAAAAAGACAACATATGGCTAACAAACAATGGCATCATCAGCATGCAGAGACATTGAAAAGAATGAGAGCAATCAGCTGACTTGGTGGAGAGCTCCACAAAGCATCACTGAGTGAGAGGGCAAAATGGAATCCATGAGAGGGACCTATGCATGTGAGGGATCCTGAGGAGTAGCAGGATGGCTCACCCCCAGGTGGCGCTCGCTTTTCTCAGCCTGTTCACAGCCACGGGGAGACACAGAGACAAGGATGACAAAAAAGCACCATTATGGTTTCTAAAAGTCTCAACCTACTTAAAAGGAACATCTGAACAGATCTTCAGAGAACCTGAATTAAGCACCAGGGCCGAGAGCTTGTCAGAGAGAATCCCACCTTAGCAAAGGCATCTCTGCCGTAGCTGGCTTCTTGTTCCGTGTGCTGCTTGTCAATGATGTCCCGGCCTGTGGCCACAGTCCGGTAGAGAAGGGTCTTCTCAACTATCTCGGTCTTGGTAGAGAGCAGCTCTGCTATGATCGACACAACCTTGCTGTTTTCAATGAGGGGCATGTCACCATCCACTACAAATTTTAAATTCCCCTATATCAAAAGTGAAAAGACCAGGTAAGTTCCACTGAGGTTCTTCAACATTATGTCAGGGATACAGTTGCTAATTTAAAATATCCTTCACGTAACCTTGCGCAGCACACACTTTCCTAAACATATTACATGTCTCAATAGACAAAAGCCTAGAACTTCATCTAATTTTTCCTCTCGTCCCAGATACTCATTTATTCTTAATTTTCAGTATACGCTTTTGATGGACAGGTATTACATTTTTATGCAGTCAAATTTATCAATCCTTTGCTTTAGGGGTTTTCATTCTTTGGCACACCATCCTTAGTCCAAGTATCTTAATTGATTAATATTTTCTTCAAATGTTGACACATCATTTTCTCATATCAAGCTTTGAACCCACCTAGAGTTTATTTAGTATGTGTTGCAAAGCAAGAATATACTACTTTTTTAGATAGTTGATTGCTCCAACACCATGTATCAAATAGCCTATCTTTTCTCCTGATTTAAAATATTAATTCTATTATAATAATAAATTCCCCCAAGCTTTTAGTCTATTTTTTATTGATTCAAAAACAATGCTCCAGTCCTTGTTCACACCCACCATTTTGCTGGCAGACAAATGGCCCAGTGTCACATCCCCAAAATACCATATCATCAAATCTTCCCAGGTAGAGTGGTCTGGGTTGAGAACTCTGGGATTCTCAAGATGGGAGCAGGCAGATTCCCCTTTTTGCCCGAAGGCACAGCAACCCACAGCCACATCTGACAACCTCCAACATAGAAACAGCCCAGCTCCACAAGCTGCCAAGTCACCAGATTGTTCCAGGTCTATAGCTTCTGCATGGCCACACTGCACTGTCAGTCCAGAGGGTCACAGCAAATCTGATGGGAAAGTTGCTCAGAAGACCACCAAGCTCCATGAACCTCAACAGTAACAGAGAAGGCTCAACGTGACCTAACCATCCTGGGAGAGCCTCGGACAATGATTTTAGGAACAGAACTGCGAGCTCTAACAATTACCACAAACTGACTCATTGATCTAAGTTTTGATAATTCTACTTGCTTTTGTGTTGTGACAAGCAATATGAAGTAAATTTATTTGTGCCTGCAATGGGGCAGGATGGGGTGGTGGGTGGGAAACTGGAGACACTTGCTGAGGGAAGGACAGGCATTCTGGTGGTGCAATTGGTGGGGTGTCACTCAATGCTTGAAACAACTATATTATGAACAACTTGGTAAGTCAAGGTGTTATAATACAAATTTAAAAACAAGAACAAAAATAATACTCATTTACCCTCTACCAAGTGTCCAGTATATCAAACAACTTGTTGATTAATCTTGTGCTGAATACGTACGAAGAGTCATTCTTACTAACGTTTCACATCTGGCAGAACTAAGTCTCCTTGCCTTCATTTCCCTATCCTACTTCTCTAAACACGTTTATCTGCTCTTTCTGTAAGCTTAAAAACAAAATTTCTGTTTGAATTCTGTAATATTTAAGGTACTATTTAAACTTCCATACAATATTTTTTACAGAGTTCCTACATGTTTTTTTCTTTTAGTTAAATCTTACTAAAAGAAAAGGTGAAAGGTAATTTTTAGTCTATTTGAAATCATGCTGTTGTTTATTGTAAGGTTACTTGTCTCCTATACTTTAAATTATTAAAACATTTCTAATTATATAATCAGTAATAAAAGTACAACACAACTTTATTTCTTCTGAATTTGATGTTATATAAAAAAAAATAACTGAACTGTAAGCCAGACAATTTATCTATAGTGTTGGCTGCCATTAACTGTCATTAATTGTAGGTGGTTATGTCTAATTAGTTCAACCTCAAGAGTAGTTTCTCACTGACCTATTAACATGAGATGATCAATAATCTAGTTCTAACAGTCTATGCTCCTGCACTTCAAATGCTGCTCAGAATATTTTACTTACATCGCCAGCAGACACATCACTGCAGAATTCTGTTATCCTTGAAGTTAACTAGTTTAAAAGTCTGACATATCAGTAAGAAAATTAACTAAAGCCGTAAGTGTAAAAACTAATAGGTTTAGAAAATACCCCACTAAAATGATGGGAGAAAATCACAATAGAATCATTTCTTTAAAATGTGCAAGAATTTTTTTCCCAAAAATTATAACAAATATTTATTTAAAGCAATGTATTCATTTGTAGCTCCAATCACCTCAAACTTGAAAATTTCAGTTTTAATCAACTTCATAAAAAGACTTTGAGGACAGCTGCATCCAGGTATGTGATTATTTCTTTGCCCATTCTTCTTTCTCTTTTCTTTCCTGAATAATCTCTTTCGGATATGGTTCAAGGTAGAATTTATCCTCCTTGTGTTTTGTCCACTACTCCTTGGGCAATATCTGTGCCCTCATGGTCACGTGTCCAGGGCTCTTTTAATGTGGAACATCCTGCTGTTATACAGGTTCTTGGGGAGCCTCTTGCTGGCTTCTTTCACGCCTCCAACTGCACTGATGGTATCATCATGCACTAACACTAGTTTAATGAACCCCACAGCCTTGTAGTACTATTTCCGAAGGTCTTCCAGCCACCGGCCCGAGTCTGCAACTGTCTGCCTGCCTGCCATGTTGACACTACATACAAGAGAAATTTTCTTGACATAAATAACATCTTAAGTCATTGGGGTGGGGGGAACAAAAATCTAAAAGTCATCCTGTCTCCCCAGGGAGACAATGTAATAGGAAAGGCACCCCCACTCACCAAGTGAAGAATAGAAGCCAGAATTTTATACACTGTTTGAATCTCCTCAGGTTTGAAGCCAATTACTTTCATGGCATCAGCTACGACTTTGAATTCTGCAGCATCATTGATAGAAGACTAGGGGTGAAAAAAATGGAAAATATTAGTCACAGACACTTCATCTGAGCACTAAAATCCAACAATTTTGCTTTTGTGGAAGATCAATGAGGAACTGATGAGTCTCCAGGGAAAATAAAACTTATTTCAGTGGTAGAAATATCATTCACAGCACACACAATGCCCACAGGTGTGTAGAGCTAGTCATCCATAGTAAGCACCACATGTTCCTAGAACCTTCTGTGAGGAAGCAAATTCAGAACTGGCTCTGCGAAGGTGATTTCTGCCCTGTGGTGAGTGAAGGACGTAGCATGGGATGTGAGATCACAAATGGAAACTCTGACTGTGGGAGTCTCTCAGACACATGCCTGGCTATCGTGGTCTGTGGTTTTTGATCCATAATTAGTCTGGGACAGGCTGGGAATGCTGCTGCCACATCCCTCTGGTCAGGCTTTGTACTTCCCAGGTGAGGAAAAGCAGGCGCCCAAAGCAAGGCAGTTCAATCTGCCAGCAAGCTATTAAATGGGCTGGGACTGTTCTTTCAATTTCTCACTATTCAATAAACATTCAGAGTACCAGATGTTCTAATGGGTACCAGTATAGACTGAATAACTGTGCCACCCCCCACCCCCCCCCGCCCCAGTCCAGAAGTTGAAAGCCTAACCTCCCACATGACGGTGTTCTTCGGTAGAGTCTGGGGCAATTAATTCCAGAGGCTAGAGTCCTCAGAAATGGGACAAGTGCCCCTGAGGAAAGACTCCCAACTTGCCGTGTGACCCCCCGTCCCAGGAGGTGCAGGAAGCAGCTCCATCTACTCATCGGGAGCAGGCCCTTCTCGAAGTCTGGCTCTGCAGGTGCCTAGATCTTAGGCTGTTCCATGAAGAATACACCTCTAAGACTCTAGACTAAGACAAGGGTTCAAAGAAAAGTCCCCGCCTTTAAGGTGCCATTAGCTGTTCAGTTGGAAATACAAATGTGTTGACTGGAATGCAAAGTCAAGCAATATGTAGCTGCTCTGGCAGTTTCCCCAAAGCAGCACCCAAAAGGGTAGGATGCCCCTTTCCCTGGAGAGTATATCCTCTGCCCAGGAGATGGAGACCTGGCCTGCTGCTAACTCACTGTGGGCACATCTGCCTGACCAGCGTGTGGTCTCTCAGGGTCCAGGACACAGCCAGGCAAGCTGCTCACCGCTATTCCTCTGACCTTGGCCAGGACACTGAACCCTCATGGACCTTTATTCCTCACAGGCAATATAGGTCTCATGACACAGTCCTCAGAGGATGGCTATGAGCACTGAATAAGAATTTATTTATATAGGGCTGGACAACAGTATAGTGGGTAGGGCTCTTGACTTGCATGTGAATGACCTGGGTTCAATCCTCTGCATCCCATAAGGTCCCTGAGCACCGCCAGGAGTGATTCCTCAGCACAGAGCCAGAATTAAGATGTGTCCCCAAAACATACATACACACATATATATACACACACACATATACATACATGTACATATATTTTATATATTATAGGCATATATATTTATATACATATCAATGTTAGAAATATACAATATGTGTATACACACTGAGCATCTGCCTTGTTCCTAACACATAATTGTTTGACAAGTTTCAGATGCTATAAGTTGTCATAAGCTGCAACAAAAGGAACTGGACCAGGACCAAAGAGACAATACAGTGGGTAGGGTGCCTGCCTTGCATGCAGCTGACTTTGTTTCAACCCCAGCATCCCAGCATCTCCTGAGTCCAGCCAGGAGTGATCCCTGAGCACAGAGTCAGGAATAAGTCCTGAGCACTGCCAGGTGTGGGAAGGAAGGAAGGAAGGAAGGAAGGAAGGGAGGGAGGGAGGGAGGGAGGGAGGAGGGAAGGAGGGAGGGGGAGGGAGAAACATTGTATCAGCATAACAGGGTTACTTAGCCAGGATACATTATACAATTTAACTTATATTTTATATCATGGTCACAGTCAGGGTCCTCCTGTTGTACATCGATTTGCTGGAGCGGGCCCAGTAACATCTCCATCATATAGACAGATAGATAGATAGATAGATAGATAGATAGATAGATAGATAGATATTCCACATATATATGTATATACAATATATACACATAGACTATGTTATTAATAATTTTTCTTTTTAGAATTTTTTGGTAGGGTTATCTTTGGACTATTTCTGGCTCTGTGCTCAAGAGAGATCCCCAATAGTGTTTGAGGGATCATAAGTAGTGCCAGGGATTTGAGCCAAAGTCAGCCAGATGCAAAGCAAGCACATTAACCCCTATACTATCTTTCTGCCTCATCAATGATTTCTGAGTGGTAAGTGTTAGGGTACTTTTGTTTCTTTTTGATTTACTACTATCTGGGGTATTTATTATGCAAATAAATTATTTCTTTGTTTTCCTTAAGAAAGAAAGAACAAAAAGGCATGTGTGTTTGAGAACAGGAATGGAAAACATTAATGAAAAGGGAACCTAAACCAACTTAAATTTATATCACAGAAAAAAGCTAAGTGTCAATTTAATATTTGCTTTCTCTGGGGTACTACATAATTTGACTAAAAGTGATTTGGTTGATAAGGCAATTTGAAAAGAAAAGAGTATTTCTGGTCACATGCCACTTTGGTGTTCATTTTTAAATCCTTTATGATTCTTTAGGTACCTATGGCTTATTCTCAGAGAGACAGTGTTGTTCTCTATTGTTTTGTTTGCAATTACTTTCCAAGAAAAAAATCTTGCTCTCAGAAAATTATAAGAAAAAAGTTTAAGCAATCTGAATGTAAACTAAAAAATTAGCAGTAAAACTTTAAGTATATTTTATGCATGAACATGAAAATATAACTAAATTATTATATAGTTAAAGACAAATAATAGAATTGGTGGGGGAAGGGGCCATACCTGGGGATGCTCAAGGCTTATTCCTTACTCTGCATCAGAAATTATTCCTGGTGCTCAGGGGACCATGTGGGTTGCTGGGCGTCAAACTTGGTTGGCCGCATGCAAGGCATATGACCCATACATTATACTACCTCTCCAGCCCCAATAATAGAATTTTTTTTTTAAAAAAAAAAACAAATTCCTCATCTTAGATCCTTTCCTTTTGAATATTTTTTCCTTTTCCCCAAACATATAAGTAATACACACTTATTATAGAAGAAATTTTAAATAGGGAAAAGCAGAACACAAATATCTACCATATTCTCCATCTAAACAATTATATATTCCTTTATATAGGATATACATCAATTGGATAAATTGTACAAATAGATCAATTGTATATATTTTCCATACAGAATACAGATCAATTGTTTTTATATATTTCTTAACTATTTATGCATATCTTAACTATTTACGTATCTTTCTTCCAATAGAATGAGATAACAGATAATACTGGCATGTTTTATAATCTACCATCAACAAACTACTGTCCTATTCAGGGTAGTTATTAAAATGACTGGCAGAAAACAAGTTAGAAATAAAAGAGCAAAAATAATCATATGATGTTTGGCCAAGGGCTCACATACAAAGGAAGGAGGAATTAGGAAAAAGAAAAGCTGATTAGAAATACTCACAAAACGATTTCTAAAATACAACAAACTCAAAATGAAAAAGACTGGATGGAAAGCTTTGATATTTATATTCAACCACAGTGCCTTTAAATTTTCTTTTGTCCTATCTACTTGCCTTGGCCAAATCATATTCTCTTCTTTTGAGGTAAATTTTCTAATCAAATCCATGCAGTGTCCAAGGGTCCCAGGGACCACTACTAGCCATACTCAAATCCAGTGATACTTGGGTCCAACAGGGCTGGGCAGCAACCAGGGATACCCCAGGGATCACCCCCAGACACCCCAGGATACATCAAAGGACAATGCAGTGCCAGGAAATGAAACCAAGACCTCCACAGACCAGGGACGCATTCCACCCCTTCGAGTCATCTCCCAGGCCCTCAATATTTTTATAGTGTAAAATAAAATAAAAAGGAATAAAACTTAAAAGAAAGCACAAGATCACACGAGAGAAACTTTCCTATCATAGGGTGATAAAAGAGAGTAATGAGGGGCTGGAGTGATAGCACAGTGGGTTGGACATTTGCCTTGCATGTAGCCAGCCCGGGTTCGATTCCCAGCATCCCATATGGTCCCCCGAGCACCGCCAGAAGTAATTTCTGAGTGCATGAGCCAGAAGTAACCCCTGTGCATCGCCGGGTGTGACCCAAAAAGAAAAAAAAAGAGAGTAATGAGGTTATTAAACAAAGTTGTTGAATCAATAATGTATCTCTGCTCCTAAGCATTTTTAAAATAAAATAGAATTAAAGTTTCAATTATTGACCTAACGGGAGCAGGCTTGACCACATAATTAAATGTCCCCCTTGATTATTTTTTTTTCTGATTCTATAGCTAAGCAATCTTAAAGAGGCAACTCTCACCTTTAATTGAGCTCCTACGCGAATATAGTTGTAGGATGAAAGAGATTTCTGGAGATGCAGTGAACGTAGTATTTGCTCTGAACCTCCTTGGAGTAGCTGAAAAATATTTAATTAAAAATAAATGGGCCAAGTACACAGAGAAGTAAAACACTGAACGTTCTAGCTTAACAGTCATTTAGCTTCCATTCACTTCTTGGGCTTCATTCAAGTAAGTCCCCCTAGTTCTAGCTCTGAAGAATTATTTATTTTTTTTAACTTGAAGGTACGTGGCTTTGGTTCATCATTTATGGAAAATGTTATGCAGTCAGGAAGAAAACACATATGAAGCAACCTTAGCTCTTTTTCACAACTCAAGTGACATAAAAGGCGCTTGTTTCATCTGTGTTGTCTGCACAGCAGGAGCCCTGAAACTGGAGCAATCACTTGCATTAGCAGCCCACTACCTAGACAGGACAGAGTTGTGCTTCAGAATTTAGAAAATAAAATCAATGCCGTTCCAGAAATAAGAGCTTGCAGTCACAAGATGTGTTTGCTTATTCTTAATCCATCTCTGCATTTTAGGGAAGGACAATTAGATAACTGTGACTGCAGTGTTAGACAAAGACAATTTTCAGTACTTTCACCCAACTGGGAGAAGCACTGGGGAAAAACTAAGGTTTTTTTTTAATTTAAAAAAAAATAAACAGAATTCTTTTCCATTTGATAGAAAGATTTTTGAAAGCATGGCAAATTGTCAACAAAAACAGCTCCAACCTAGGTAGCCCTTTTATACGGCATATGACTTAATGAAGGCATTATGTTTAACTCTCATCATTAAATTCATTAAATTGTATGCTTTGCTTTATTTTAAAAATATCACTATTAACTTTTTTTTTCCAGCAGAAATTCCAGGGCTCAAATCAGGACCCTCTGAAAAGCATATATTTAACCATTGAATGATGTCTCTGATCAAATTTTAAAATTTTAAATTGATTTGTAAAACCAAAATATACCAGAACTTGTGTATAATAATGGGTACTGCCATTAAATCAGTTGCCCAGAAAAATATGAATGCAGATAAAAATTTTTGTTCTTGTTTTAATTTTTTATTTGTTTATTTATTTATTTTTGCTTTTTGGGTCACACCCGGTGATACACAAGGGTTACTCCTGGCTCTGCACTCAGGAGTCACTCCTGGCGGTATTCTTGTTTTTTGATCATACCCAGAAATGCTCAGGACTTACTCCTGGTTCTGCACTCTCCTGATGGGATCTCAGAGGATCATATGGGATGCAAGAGCTTGGACCTGGGTCATCTGTGTGCAAGGCAAGTGCCTTACCTGCTATACTATCACTCCAGCCTCTGAAATGTAACTAAACTGTATTCAATGTATATTGTCACCATGCAATCTGCTTCAGAGATGTTTAAACCTAGAAATCAATCTTACTGATGTATAGTTTTTTTTTTTAATTCAAACTGTATTGCTTAATTTCATCACTGACTGCATCTATTAGCCTTGGAATATACTATGTAGGCTTTAAAATTCTTCTGCATATAAAGATTTTCCAATAGGAGGACAATTTTAAGATATTTTGCCTTAGACTTTCTTTATTTACTTATTTTGGTTTTTAAGCCACACCCAGGAGTGGTGAGGGCTTATTTCTGTCTCTAGGCTCAGGAGTCACTTCTGCTAGTATACAGGGGACAATATGAAGTGCCATGCTGGGGATAGAACCAAGTGTTTACCCATATACTGTATTATCACTCCAGTCTTGCACTAGATTTTAAAAGCATTTTAAGTAGGCATTTACTTTTTCTTAAAGCACAGCTTTGGTAATATAAAGACAATTCTCCTTTGCATTTATAAATTTCATTTTTTGCTTTTTTGTTGCTGTTGTTGTTGTTGTTGTTTAGAAATTACATTGCTTTAATCTCTCTATGAACAAAATTCACTGATTCTGATTTCCCATTTCTGGAGTTCTTAATACTGGAACAATTGCTTCGATTAAAAATAAAATTAGGCTAGCTCTTCAAGCCCATGGTTCTCCCTTGACCATGTATCTCGCTTGTTGTCCTGATGTTTCTTTGCCTGCTTATTTCCACTCTGGAGAAGCCTGCGTCCTCTCTTGAATATGCACTTCTCCCTTTCCTCTGACATCTTTCTAAATAAGTTTCAATAAAAAAATTTCTTGCTTCACCAAAAAATAAAATAAACCCCAAAAGACCTAACAACAAAATTACTATACTTAGAATCTACCATTTCAAAAATTTTCATAATTATTAAGAATCTACATCACAAGGAAATGTAGGTAATGCTCAACCAAGCGGATCAGGCTGGTGTGTGTGTGTGTGTGTGTGTGTGTGTGTGTGTCCATGATTAATGTCTCCTGGTCAATGGAGACAGGAAGGCACAGAATTCTGAGTGACTTCCAATATTAAAAACACTCCTTTCTGCACAGTTAAGCAACTAATCAATTTTTTTAATTTTTTTTATTATTAGTGAAACACCATGAGGTACAGTTGTAGATTTACAAATTTTTGTGCTTGGATCTCGATCATACCACGATCAAGTACCCATCCCTCCACCAGTGCCCATTTTCCACCACCAGGATAATATCCCTCCCCCCCATCCCCCCATCCCCCCATCCCCCCCTGCCACTGTGGCAGGGCATTCCCTTTTGTTCTCTCTCTCCTTTTGGGTGTTGTGATCAGCAAAAGAGGCATTGAGTGGCAAACATGTTCAGTCCAGTCTACTTTCAACCTGCATCTCCCCTCCTGGGAGGATCCTCCAAACACCCTCCACTTGGTGTTCCCCTTTCTATCTGAATTGTCCTTTCCCCTAGAATACCCGGCTGGCCTCTAAGTTATGGAGTAATTCTCCTGGTGAAGCAACTAATCAATTTTCTTTCAGAAAATAAACAGAGTACTAACCTGGTAGAAAGAATGGAAGCTTCGTTCTCCTGGCTGTTGCACAATCACTCGAGACTAGGGAGAAAAATACACACACACACAAAGATCATTCCTCTGAAAGTGTACCCCTAAATTATAAACAAAAGCCACTTTCTCAGGGATCCTGCATTCCATTCAACAGAGCCAGCAGGCCGTACTCTAACACACTAAGATGACGCCTTCTCCATGGGCTTTCTGTGTCGTTCCCCTCTTTCTTCACTTAAAAATTTAAATTTTTTATTGCTTTCTCATTAGTTTACTATATTGTAGGGATCCAGGGGTTTTCAAGTTTTATACTTCCCCCATGTGCGCATCTGATCCTCACGGCTCCTATCACCCAGGTTCCAGAGTGGTGCAATATTCTGATGGTCCATTTTACTACTTAAACCAGGGTTCCCTAATCTTTCTAAAACATTAAGTCATTTTGCTTTTTTAATTTTTTAACCTGGAACCTAAAGAGAAAATTTCTTTTTAGGTGTTGTGTGGGGGCACTAGAGGCACTAGTCATGGGCACGGTAAAATAGGAAGAAACACTAAAGGAGAAATCTCTTCAGCATCCCTTCTGCAGAATATTGCTGGCATTTCAAGGAGCAGAGCCCTATATCCTTTAATAAAACCAGTCACATAAGTGTGTCTGTGAAGAGCCCCCAGCCTTAAAGGGCTTCAAAAAATTGCAATTAAGAGAGGCCTCAAAAAGGTAATTTATTCCAAAGGCTATGGGGGGGGGGGGGGGTTGGTAGGAGGGAAGGGAGCTTCAAAGGCAGTGCTCAGAAGGGCTGGGAGCCTGATCAGCGATTTCTCTGCCAACTGAGGCTGGGATCAATGCAAGATACCAAAGATGAGATGCTGCTTGGGTACCACAGTGCTGGAGCTATTGGGTCACCCCAGCAGTGTTGGGGCTCTCCTGGGCTACACCTGGTGATGCTCAGGGAAGCAGCTGGTGCTGTAAATCAAACCCGATGGGGTACATATCCGGCCTCCTGCAAGGGATCCTTTTGATTACTGACTCTGACAAAGCTGACAAAGCCAAGTCTAATGAAACTTTTGGGGGAAAAAACAAATAAGCTGGGATTTCATGGCGATTTTCAATGGACCTCAGTACTTTCTGAAAAGCCTAACTTCAATTTAATAAGCAAATCAAAAAAGAAAAAAGAAAGATAGATTAGGGCTAAAATGTGGCTTAGTGGCACAGCATCTGCCTTATGGTGTGCAATCCTTGCACAGGACACATGTGTGATCCCAGAGGCACACCACTGTGTTCCTCAGGGTCACAACAAGTGTGTGGTCTTCTGTACACGGCGACCAATTGTGAGAGCCATTTGCCCTGTAACAGCAACAACCAAGGGTAGGGAAGCTAGGAAAAACTCATCCCACCGCATTCTACCATCACACAGGAGACTATAGGGGAATAGGGTAGAAAATCCGCAGTTGTCCAGGCAAGTGGATTCAGATCTGAATTCAATTCAAGATGGAGACTCGGGGATGGGCCATCTTAACTACAAAACCCAGGCGAATGGATTCTTGTACCCTCCTTCAGTTTTCAGGGATAATTAAGATTAATTAGGGCACAGCCTCCCTGGCACTCCCAAGAGCAAAGTTTTAATTGGAAACTTCTACAGGCCCAACATTCACGTAGGCAGATAAAAACATACTCTTCATGTTTTCACTGACCGAGTACAGTATGTTTTGCGATTAGACTACAAGATCATAAAACACATCTGTTAAAAAGCAGTGAACAAATGGAAAGTTGAAGTAAATAGGATTTCAATGAGCTTAAATTAAAACCTATGAGAGCTGGTGACATGTAAGGAGATGATTAGTCCTGGACTGATTCTTGTTAAACTTACCACATTCATATACACCCTTCCCCACTTTCTCCATTTCCCTACTCCTATACTTTTATCTACAAAGTCCATAACTTTGCAAGAGCTAATAAGAGAACACAAAAGGAGAATGCTTGCCATAGAAAGTTAGCTGGAGAGCAGGAAGGGAGGAAGAATGGGAGTAAATTTTTTTTCTACGAAGAAAAAAAAATCCTCTGAAGGGTGGGACATTGTTTGGATGACTTCTCTATATACTCTACAAAGCTTTGCATATGAGAGAGTGTGGGCGGGTGTTTGCAAACCACCTTGGAACACTTCCCCTTTAATATCAGAAAGCAAAACATATACAAACAAAAGCACATATAGAGAAACAAAGAAAAGGAAGAGACAATGTCCAATGAAAATAAACCCTGACCACAGGACAGAGGCTATGAAGTTAGGGTGGAGGGAGAGCTGAAAGGGCACAGTGGCCCCATGGGTTGGCACTTTGGGGGTAGAAGGGGTGATATGGTGCGCTAAACATAGAAACAATTATTCTTGTGCACCAAGGCTACTGCAGTCAATATTAAGTTTAAGTACAAATAAATAAAAGCAGTCAAGGCTGGCCTTCAACCCCAAAGTGCTGCCTCTGTCCAGGTGAGCCTTGTCACCAATGGAATAGGGAACTGAAAAGTGTGTGTGTGTGTGTGTGTGTGTGTGTGTGTGTGTGTGTGTGTGTTGTGTTGTGTGCTCCTGGGCAAAAAATTAGTTTTCTCCTACTGAAATTTCATTTCAGTGTTTTTTGCTTCCACAGAGACCCTAGAGTCTCCTGACAAAAGGCCAGGGTTTTCCCTATTTCCTGCCAGTCTCTCCCAGAGGAAACTCATTTCAAAACTTACCTTTTCCCTGGGGTCTTAAAGGAAAAACAGGTTTCTGGTTCACACTGTGACTCCTAGTAATCTCAGGTCTTTGATGTGATCACTTTTCGAATTTAAAAGATCCAGAGAGAATTATTCTTATACAAGACTGGTAATTATTCTACAAACTCCCTGAATTCTTAACACTGCTATATTTTAGGATAAGTGGTGACTTTTTTCTTCCCATGCCTTTGATCTGCTTTTCTTCTGCTCCTACACTACACCACCCAATTTGTGAAGACGTAGTATGTGACTTTTGTACAAATATGTTTCTCATTGTGCTGTTTATTTTGGGTGAAATAAGGGAAGGAGTTTCAAAAGATTAAAGGAAATTGATTAAGAAGATCTAATCGCCCTCTTTTTCAGTGAATAAATAGAACACCATTTCCAGGGAGTAAGAAGAAATTCTATAAATATAACCAGATTTTAGAAAAACATTCAGCATTTGCAAACATATCCCTCAGAAATTAATGCTCATCTTACCTTCTCCAACAAGTAATTATTGATATGACCACCGATAGGATCGCCCTTGAAATCAAAGTTGATATCCATGTATTTCCCAAATCTGCTTGAGTTGTCATTGCGGTTGGTCTTGGCATTTCCAAAAGCCTCCAAAACACAGTTAGATTTAAGCAGCATATTCTTCACTCTTTAATGAAACAAATTAAAGTCATCATAAGTCTTTGAATTTTTAAAAGCTTAATTTTGCTTAAAAATGCAAAGATTTCCTCAGAGACCCTGACTGCAGGCTTGTTACACACACACACACACACACACACACACACACACACACACACTCATACATACAAAAAATATTAAAAAATGTTATTCATTGAAGTAACCTGATAGAGCAAATCCACTGTTCCGTCCATTATTACTGCAAGTGACCCAATACCTCATGTCATGAGACAAAGTGCACGGTGAGGAAATTGCTAGTTGTTTTTTGGGGGAGTGGGAGAGAATTTTGGACCATGCTTAGCTGTTCCTGGCAGTACTCCAGGGACCACCTGTGGTGTCAGGAATTCAAACCTGGAACTACACAGTCACGTGCAAGTCCCTCCTGCACTCTCCTGCCCCAAACTGCTAGTGTTTGGTAAATGAAGGAAACTTTCTAAAAAACTATGGTAAGAATGCCTATAAAAGACTAGAATGCATACATATGCCACTATCTACTATAACGAAATTTTAGAACTAAAATTTATTTCTCATAAGGTGAACAGAACTGTGCTCTTAAGGAGGGAAGGGACCTTGGGATAGTGGTGGAAAGAAAGATCCTGCCACTCTGACGGTAGGTCTGGCATAGCAGCACCACCATGTAAAACACTAATATTGTATTACTGAAGAAAAGTCAAATTAAATTTAAAAAATATTTAGTTCTCAGCTACTCTCCTGAGTTCCTAAGGAAGTTAAGAAAACCTATTTCTATCCTTGTCCTTGTCACGCTAGATAGAAATCAAAATAAAAAGAGTCACTTGCCTCTTTTGACCAGACAATATATAGCCCAACAGGATTAAAAAATAAAAAAGTTTTGGGCCGGAGTGATAGTACAGTGGGTAGGGTGTTTGCCTTGCACGCAGACAACCTGAGTTCCAATCCCCAACATCCCACATGGTCCCCCAAGCACCACCAGGAGTAATTCCTGAGTGCAGAGCCAGGAGTAACCCCTGTGTATCGCTGGATGTGACCAAAAATCAAAAATAAATCTATAAATAAAAAAGTTCAACACAATATCCTTTCCATTCACACAAGAAAGGCAGACAGTGATGTGTATATAGAATGTGATGCGTCAGTAAAGGAACATTAAGCTTCAAGGTAGCAACTTTGAAAACATTTTCTTTTCAAAGAACCTATACTACAGGGCCAGAGAGAGTGCAGTAGAGAGGGCACTTGCATTGCACACAGCCAACTAGGGTTCGAATAGCACCACAGTCACCCACCAGGAGAGATCCCTGAGCACGGGCAGGTATGACCCCAGTGCCAAACCAAACCAAAGAAAACAAAAAAGAATCCAACCCCCAAAGACTGATATGAAAAAGTTATGCCACTTGACCCCCCACAATTCTTTCTCTCTTTAAAAAAAAACCCTTCCATTCCATCCCTTCACATACATAAAGTGACTGCAACGTGCTAGGCGCCCAGCGCAGTGCTGAGCCCAAGAGACAGTGCACACCATCAGCTGTTACTCATCTGCTGCAGCCTTTAGAAAAGGAGTCCAGTCTGGCCGGAGAGAGAGAGGACAGCACAAAGGGCTCTTGCCTTGCATGTTGCTGACTCAGGTTCAATCCCCGGCATCCCGTATGGTCCCCCCCCAGCGCCGCCAGGAGTAATCCCTGAGCACAGAATATGGAGGACACCTGAGATCGTTGGATGTGGCCCAAACACCAAAAGAGAAAAGGGGAAAAAAGGGAAAAAAAATCCTATCTAGAATGCCTAATTCCAGAGGCTTTGTTTAAAAATAGGAAAGAGCAGATTTGTCTAGGGAACTGAGTTGCTCTCCAGAGCCTAAAAAGATATTTCTTGAATATCAGCACTATAAAAAGTGAGATGTCCATAAGGGCTTGAACAATAAAACTGACCAATGTAAATAAAAGTATCTCTGCGGCTCACACATAACAATACGAACTAGAATAGGGATGTTTTCTCCAGTTTCAAATAATTTTATTGGCTCTATTTTTTTGTTGTTGTTGTTCAAGCTCATCCTGTGACATGACCATGACCATCCTGTTGTTCGTCGATTGCCTCGAGCAGGCCCCAGTAACGTCTCCTTCATCCTAGCCCTGAGATTTTTTAAAAAGTGCATATTCAAGGTTCTTTCAGGGTTAGGAGAATGAGACCCATTATTGTTACTGGTATTTGGCATATTGGGTATGCCATGGGGAGTTTGCCAGACTCTGCTGTGTGGGCAGGCTACATTCAGTAGCTTTCCAGTTTGTCCAAAGTAAGAATGAGATAATAATATGTTGCACGGCTGCAAATGTGGCAGCGCGCTTCGGGAGCTGGGTTTTATAGTCTCTGGGTCTTGGCCGTTGATGGGATTACACGGCGCCAAGGGGCCAGTTGGTGGGTGTGACCCCTGCCTACTGGAATATGGAGGTTCTGGGTGGAGGATGCTCAGCCAACAATCCAAGCAGGCTTGGAGATTCAGCCCCAGGACCCGCATTGCCTTTGTTCCTCCACCGGTACCTTCATGCATGTGGAGAGTTGTAGGGCATTTGCCTTGCACGAGGGCGAACCGGGTTTGATCATCCTGTAGTAAGCTTTTTTCTATTAAAAAACAAGTATTAAAAATAAAGTGATAGGAATGAAATGTATAGACATTCGGCAAAAATAAGGAGAGGGAAACTTAACCATTAATAAATGCTCAAAGGACCTTAGAGTATAGGCGTGGTTAAATCGACACATGAAAAGGAAGTGCTACCCAGACAGGGGGCTGTTCTTTGTCCCTGCTTACCTTTCAATCTCAGCTCTCTGACTGGGGTTGGTGATGGCCGCAATATAATGCATAATGTACTTACTGGCTTCAGTTTTACCAGCTCCACTTTCCCCTGGGAGAAAAACAGTGCAAACTTAATACGGCAGCTTAAACCAAGAGTTAGATGATTATTAATCAAATCATTATAAATGCTGATGTTATATAAATTCCTTGTGTTTCACCATTTGCATTTTTTGAGTTAATTCACCTATTTTGATATGGCATTGACTTGAACAGATGTGACAATGTGAGAAACATAAAACTATTGTGTAAGTAAAACAAATGAACTTAGAAAAAGTTAGAAAAAAGTATCAGTGGTTGAAATGTATGAATCAATTCCTTACATCTTAATGTTTGGTGGTGACTCTTAGATATAGCAGAAAAGGGACAAGATAGTGATTCCAACAGTGACCAGAGATAAATTTACAGAAACTTATTTTCTACAGTAGGATATCTTTTTATGGGTGTGAAGTAATTCCATGTAAGAAGTATCTACCCACCGTCAAAAAATGTGCAAAGGGTGAGAGCGATCGTACAGCAGGTAGGGCATTTGCCTTGCATGCACCGGATCCGTGTTCCAACCCTGGCACCCCATATGGTTCCCAGAGTATTGCCAGGTGTGACTCAAAAACAAGAAAAACGTGTATGCCCTCTGGCCTATAAGTTCCAGTAATAGCAAGTTAAGCTATGAACATATTAAACACACGAAACAGTAATCTTCAGAGGTTCTACAGATATTTCTGCAAACTAGACACTGTGAGTTACAGCTAATACCTGAAACTAATATGCCCATTAGTAGAGCAATGAACGCATTACAATTCAACTGTTTAATGGAATTTTACACAATTGTTAAGGAGAATTCATTAGTTCTTTAGTACTCTAAGGAAAAGTGCCCCAATACACAGTTAAATGGAAAAACAAGTTATGTAATAGTCATAATTATATAATCACATGTGTATGGGTGGCTATACGAATTTACACATGAAGAGTAAATGTATAAAATAATACACATTCGATTGTTCGTAGCTGTTACTGCTGGGATCTGGTAGTGGGGAGAAGAAGGGATTCAAGGTCAGGGCTTGTATTTTCCTTTACACATTTATACAATTGTTTGCTTCTATTCCCCGCCCACCCTGCCCTTTTAGAATCAGGCAATACAGCTTTTCTAATTCGTTTGTTTATTTTTGGATTGTGGGCAACACCCAGCTGTGTGTTGGGCTTAAACCCGGCTCTGTGCTCAGGGATCACTCCCGGCAGTGCTCAAAGAACCTATATAAGTGTTGGGGATTGAACCCAGGTCAGCTGTGCACAAGGCAAGCACTTTCTCTGCTGTGCTATCTCTCCAACCACTTTTCTAATTTATTTTTATCATCTTAGGACACAGTTCTGTAACTTTAGCACTAAATTTAGTTGTTCAACTCCTCTGACCCTTAGTATTATCAGCTATCAAGTAGAAACAAAGCCATTCTAGATAATTTTCGGAGTTGCTAGCCAAACTAGAACAAAGGTCACCAAAGTGTATAATAATACATATGTGAGGGGTTGTTACTGGCACCAGAAAAAACCCTTATGTTTTGGGATGAGTCATTTAGGGTTAGAAGCAGATATTTTTCTTTTTATTTTATTCCCCAAGTCTGCTGGAAGATAGAGAGTTTGGTTCTTAGTTCTTGAGTACAAGAGGTCTGCGCCCAAGCTCCCTCTTGCTGAAAGTCAAGGCTGCAGCCCCTCTCTCTGAGACCCAACACCTACTCCCTGCCATGTAGGTCCCTGGACACTGGCTGCATCCACCACTCTGACTTTGTGTGACTTTGTGGTACCTATGGGTTTCCTTTGCTTGGTTTCATTCTGTAACATTTAAAATATTTTTGTTATTTTTTGTCTGGTGCTTTTTTTTTTTAAGTTGGAGGGTTAGGAGCCTAGGAGAATGTACTTGGCTAAAGCTCTGCATTCAATCCACCCACCCCCAAGCTTGCCAGGAGTGATCCCTGAGCACAGAGTCAGGAGTAAGCCCTGAGCACCGCCAGGTATGGCCCCCAAACAAATGATCAAACAAAACTGGGGTGCCAATTCCATGCCAGTTCCATTTCCATGCCAGCTCAGATGACAAAACTGATCAGAAACCCATCCCAATAAAATATGTATTTGTAAGTGAACCAAGACTAGATGATCAGAATGAATACAGATGATTTGACATTTAACATTCAGCTGTACCAAACTGAAGTTTCTACTTCAAAAATAAATCTGATCCCTTGGAGCTTTGAGTACCAATTAAGTTAAATAATTTTGACCACTGATAGTGCGGAATACCTGATATCATGATACAGGTGTCTTTTGAGCGCCTCTTCATGGCCTTGTAAGCAGCATCGGCGATGGCGAACAGGTGAGGTGGTTTCTCATAGAGTTCTCGCCCTTTATACTGCTCAATAGTGTCTCTCTCGTAGATGTTCAGAGGCTTGTAAGGGTTCACAGAAACGACGACTTCGCCAATGAAAGTGTAGATGCGCCCTTTTTCAAATCTGTACAGAAGCAAAAAGAGAAAAAGCTGCTGTGGTAACAGTAAAATGTGATTTCTTTCCCGAGTCTCATGGGAAATCCAAATATTCCAGACACAATTTCTAACCTGAAATTTCATTGACTGTGAGTTGTATAGAAAATGCCGAAGGTTATATTCCCTTCAGCTATTATTGGTGGAAAAGAATGGGGGTTGGAAGTCAAGGAAGAAGAATACATTTTTTTTTCCTGGTGGCTGGGAGGGATTTCCTACTTCTATAATAATGAATATGCCAAATAGACCAAATTGATATGCCAAATCCAGTAATAAATGGATCTCATTTCCCTAACCCTGAATATGCAGAGTCGAGAAGGATATGGAAGGAGAGGCTGATAAAACACCAAGGCAAACATAGGCTGCCAAAACGCAGAAAAACAAAAATGATTGTCTGTACTTTTAATGCTCGTACGCTGGCATCTACTGCATCCATTGAAGACCTTATGGTACAAGCACGAAAGATCAAGTACGACATCATTGGTCTGACCGAAACGAGAAGACATCAATCCCATCATGCTGTTTTCGACACTGGAGAAGAACTGTTCCTTGGAACATGTGATAAAAGAGGCGTCGGTGGTGTTGGTATCCTTGTCAACACAAACTTAGTCACGAGCATTGATTCATTCGAATGCCTAACAACCCGAATCGGACGATTGCACTTGAATAAATATGGCTCACTACCAGCAGTTTCTATCTTTGTTGTCTATGCACCAACATCCAGTTATGGTGAAAGAGAAACTGAGAAATTCTACATGGAGCTGGAGAAGTTCTATAAAGAAGATCACACCTTCTACAAGATCATTGTCGGTGATTTTAATGCCAAGATAGGACCAAGAAGATCAGTCGATGAACTCCACATCGGAACCCATGGCCTGGAATGGAACGAACAGGGTGACAGACTGTCTGAGTTCATCATGTCAACCAAAACCTTCCATGGTAACTCACAATTCCAAAAGGCTGAATCTAAACGTTGGACATGGGAGTCTCCTGATGGACGGTTCCACAATGAAATAGACCACATCATATTCAATCGGCGGTTTTGCCTAACCGATGTTGCTGTTGTCCCAAAATTCCAAACGGGATCAGACCACCGTCTTCTTCGTGCAAAATTCTACCTCACAGAACGAGGAGAAAAGAATACAAGATTTAAGAAGAGGACTCCCAGAACAACCACCAACTGGGAGCTCTTTGGCTCTATTGCGGCAACATGGGAAGATGTCGTCATTGACAACATTGATGAGGAATATGATCGAATGATTAAGCACCTCCATGATTGTGCAAGGAATGCCAAGAGAGAGATAACCACAAAAAACTGTCTTTCTTCGAACACTCTTGAACTTATTCACCAACGTGGCTTGGCACATGCCTCAGGCAACCACAAGCGAACATCCGAACTGGCAAAACAGTGCAGAGAAGCCATCAAGGATGACCTCAAAAACAGGAGAGCAGCAGTACTGGTAGATGCAGCAGAAGCTGGGAAAAACATTCGTAATGCCCGCCTGTCCTTCACCAACTACAAATCCAAGATGACTGCCCTCCGACATCATGATGGATCTATCACATCTTCCAGAAGGGCAATGGAGAAGATTATTCATGACTTCTACTCAGATCTCTTTAATAGCCACATCCACTTGCCCACATACCACATACCACATGATGGATATGTCGTTCCCAATGTTCTCCCTTCCGAAATCCAACATGCCATCTCATCGGTAAAGAAACAAAGAGCACCTGGCCCAGACAAGATCAGACCTGAACACCTGAAGAACTTACCATCAGTACTCATCAATACATTAGCTCGACTCTTCACATGCTACCTGTCTGAATGCAAGGTTCCATCCCAATGGAAAACCAGCAGGACTGTACTACTATACAAGAAAGGAGACATCCATGACATTGGCAACTATCGCCCAATCTGCCTATTGTCTGTCATCTACAAACTATTCACTCAAGTCATCCTGAATAGGATTAGCAGAACACTAGATGAAGGACAACCATGTGAACAAGCTGGATTCCGAAAAGGATTCAGTACCATCGACCATATCCACACAATAACCAAGCTCATTGAGGTATCTCGGGAGTTCAAGATGCCGCTCTGTCTAAAGTTCATTGATTTAAAGAAGGCCTTTGATTCTGTTGAGACGGAAGCGGTCATGGAAGCCCTAGCCAATCAGGGCGTACAAACTCAATACATCAGGATCCTTCGTGAGCTCTATTGCGGATTCACTACCAAAATCTCACCATTCTACAAAGAAGTAATCATCCATATCAAGAGAGGGGTTCGGCAGGGTGATACCATTTCACCAAAACTCTTCAGTGCCACCCTCGAAAACATCATGCGACGACTGGAATGGGAAAACATGGGAGTGAAGATAGATGGTCGGCAACTACACCACCTCCGCTTTGCTGATGACATCGTTCTAATAACACCAAACATCAGCCAAGCGGCACAAATGCTGAACGACTTTGACCGTGAATGTGGAAAGGTCGGACTACAGCTGAATCTTACGAAGACAATGTTTATGAGAAACAGCCTTGTTCCTGACGCTCCATTCGCTCTCAACGGAACCACCATCTCCGAATGCAACAGCTATATATACCTAGGTCGAGAAATCAACATGATGAATGACCTGGCACCTGAGTTGCGCAGGAGGAAGAGAGCGGCTTGGAATGCCTTCAAGAGCATTGAAGAAATAACTAAAAGGACAAAGAACCTCCAGCTACGAGCACATCTCTTTGATTCCACTATTCTTCCTGCATTAACATATGCCTCAGAGACCTGGACCCTACGAAAACAGGATGAGAACGCTATTCGGATCTCTCAAAGAGGAATCGAAAGATCTATGCTTGGAATATCACGATTCACTCAAATGAGAGATAGAATCCGGAGTTCTGATCTTTGTCAACGCTCAAGAATCAGGGACGCTGTCTCATTTGCCAAGACATCAAAAATCAGATGGGCTGGACACGTAATGAGGTTTATAGACAACCGCTGGACTAGAGCCATTACTGATTGGATTCCACGGGACATCAAAAGATCACGTGGACGCCCACCTATAAGATGGTCAGACTTCTTCGTCAAGACCCTAAATGATTGGTTTGAGGCTCTGCATGTTCCTAGAACGAACAGATACCATTGGGCTACGCTAGCACGCAACCGGGATGAATGGAGACGTTACTGGCACCCGCTCGAATAAATCGATGAATAACGGGGATTAAGTGATTAAATGACAATAATGAAGGGAAAGTATGTATATGTGATATAACTCGTTTCTAGACTAACAAAGGGAAATGTGTGTGTGTGAGCGCGCGCTCACGTGCACATGTTATAGGAGAAAAATAAAACGAAATTAAAGCAAGTCTTGAAATCCACTTAACCAAAATTTCAATGATAAAGAAAACTTTCTACTAGTTAAAAAATAAAAACAGAAAAATCCACAACAGAGAGAATGGTTGAGAAGACTCTAAGTATAAATTTATTTTTAAAATATATACTTAAACTTACACAGTGTAGCTCTATCACTGCTTAGTACATCATTCCCCTTCCCTCCTGCTATGAACCATAATGAAAAAAGTATGCAGATACCTAAACTGATAAAAAAGTCCTTTATTTCTGTGGGACAGAGTCACAGGTATGAGATCGCTGGCTGAGTGGTACTTATGTACATAAAACAAACAAACAAACAGGTGGAGTGTGATGCTAAAATATTTGATGTCTAAAGCCCTACTAATAACAGTCTGTAAGTCATAGTAGTTAAATAAAATTTATCATACCTTAAATATGTTAACCTACTTCATCTCTTTTACTTGCTTCCGGTTGTGTATGTTTAACTGATTTAATAACAATAGCAACAAAGCAGGAGGCAAGAGGGAGGGAAAAGACACTGTAAAGTATGATGCTAGCTATGCCAACTTCTCCCCACAAAAACAGAGGTGAAGGTGCCAGCCTGTAGACAAATGGCATGACTATACAACAGGTACATATTAAGACTACGATCAGCACAGGAAAATGTCGAGGGCTATGTTCGTCTGCTTTATTTATTTATTTATTTGGCTTTTTGGGTCACACCTTGAGATGCACAGGGGTTCCTCCTGGCTTTGCACTCAGGAATTACTCCTGGCAGTGCTCAGGGGGCCATATGGGATGCTGGGAATTATACCAGGGTCAGCTGCATGCAAGGCAAACACCCTACCTGCTGTACTATCGCTCCAGCCCCACGTTCGTCTGCTTTATGCTTCCTTTCACATAGTAAATAGGGTGATGAGAAGAAATGTCACAGGAATAATTAGAAGGGAGTCAAAGGAAATTATGTACAGAACAGCACTGTAGCACTGTCCTCCTGTTGTTCATCGATTTGTTTATCGATTTGCTCAAGCGGGCCCAGTAACGCCTCCATTGTGTGACTTGTTGTTAACTGTGTTTGGCATATTGAATACATCACGGGTAGCTATTGCTCCAGCCCACATACAGATTAACCCCCAGCATATATGATTGTAATAGTGCAAAATTATGTTTTTATTTATAACAAAAACTCAAATATAAATCTTAAAAACCTATAGAAGTTCATTTTTTTATACAGTAACTCACATACAAATGTGCAAACCATTAGTAGGCCAACACCCAAATAGGGTTTTATTTATTTATTTTTTGGTTTTTGGGTCACACCTGGCAATGCTCCGGGGTTACTCCTAGCTCTGTACTCAGGAATCACTCCTGGTGGTGCTCAGGGGACCATACAGGATGCCAGGGATTGACCCCAGGTTGGCCTTGTGCAAGATAAATATCCTACCCACTGTACTATCTGACCCTGCAAACAAATATTTTCACACAAGTGGTCACCACCACCACCACTCCACATGCTGAGAGGGGCAGGCAGGCCTAGGGCCCAATGTCCAGAATTAACTGGAGCACTGATATGGGCAAAATGCTGGTCTGAAGACATCAGCCAAGTCTCTGATTACTCTTCT